AAAAAATCCTGTAAATTAGTCAATGTAGAAAAATTCAAATGTTTCAAAATGCAAATCACTTCAATCACCACAAAGGAAACAAAACCCAGCAAAACTACCAAACAAAATGTCCCGGTACATTTCTACAACAGCACTATGATAAATGCTTACTCAACTACAGAAACATATTACAGTGACTAGGAAATCTGTGACTCAGCATCAACTGATAGCAACAATGAGGACAATCTTATCACATATGATGCAATGCCACTGTGCTCCAGTTGTCTGCATACTGTGTTGTCATATAGCAGCACGATAACCAGTGAGAATAAAGACTGAAACATGCGATGACCAGCATATTTTACATTAGAAATCAGAAGTGTAGGACAGTAGTAGTAGTGGAAAACAAGTCCAGATGCTTCACTTGAGTGAGGGACAAGAATAGTTTGCTATAGCAAAGCCTCAAAATAGATTGTCTTGTTTTACTGATGGTGTTAGTGATTGGCTACATGTTCGTATACATCTGCTATGACCTGAAACACTGAAATAATACTTTATAATATTTTAAACATTATAAAACACTAATCACTCTCTACTGTTAGGTTAAGTAAAGGTTTTGTTACTATTAAATCCAATTAACCCATAGTAAAGGTTTGTTATTGTGTTAATGGCACTATTAATACTTTATATTCCACTTGTAAAACCTATAAAGGTAATTCACAACCCCTAAAGTGTTACCAATTAAATAAAGCAATTGCATTTTATTTTATATTAGCACCATGTGCCTAATATCAACATTATTTAAATACGTAGTTGCAATATATATTTCACAAATCATGTTATGAAGCAACCTCATGAGAGCACACACTTTTTCTGTGAATGGGGTGATTGACTAAATCTTCTCTGGACTTCAGAAAATATTTCATTTGGCAAGTGAAACTGCAAAGGAGTGCTGCAGATAGTATCTTTCTCTCAAGGCAGACCCATTCAGATGAATGCTAGAAACAACCTGTGGGTCATTCCAGGTCAAGTGAGCCAAATTCTACGAAGTCAAGCTATTCGTGTAAGGCTAGTGGCACATGCCCCACCCGGGTCAGCAGCAGTACATGCAACGCAACGTCTTTAAGACAATTAAATATGAAACGTTCTATAAAACCCATCTCCCTGCCCATGATGAGCTAATCAGCTCTCATCAATCCCCCTATTCGCAGTTCAAGAGCATTCAAGGATTTGTGTAGACTTAATAGCAAAACAGAGCAGCAGAAGTAGAATAGGAAGGAGAGCAAAGCACACAACCAAAGAAACATATTTCTCCCCACCTAAAGAAAAATGGCTATAGACGGAACACGCAGTCACGCATTTAAAAACCGTTTGTCTCCTAAAACGTCAGCCTCCCTGCTGAAGTGTCGGAACGAAAACTGGAAGCTACAATGCCTTACAAAAGAACCTGTCTATCATTACCTACAAAAATCATATTCATTTGAGATAAATCCCATTTAGACAACTTACACCCATTACAAAAAGACAGCACAGTGAGAAACAGAGACTACCATTAGAGAGCATAATATACAGCCATTAGTAAACAAGCGCTGGCTGTTACTCAGAGAGGCAGGGAAAAAAATCTCCAGGCAAAGACTGATGGGCTGGTATTTCTGCAAGACTTCATGAGGAGGATTCCCTGCTAATTCCTTGTGTACCTGGACACCATACGTGACTGCAACATCTTTAACAGAGTCAAAAAGCACATTGGACAATAACCAGATCCTGACCCAAGTAAAACCCAAACCAGTAGCAAAGGTAGGTTTTATTTAAACGGCTTTCCTGACACTGGCCGATTGATTGCGGTTTTTCAAAGTGAAGAAAATGAAAAGAAGTCATCCCCCGCTTAGGCAGTGTCACCGATGGCCAGTTTTCAAACGCCAAACCACATCAGCCACTGCCACGTTTATCACCCGAGCCCTGAGCAAACAGCTACCTGAGCTGGGAGAGGACAACCGTGACAACTGCTTAGGCAGTTAAGCTGAATCAAACACCAAGACATTTTCAAGCTGAAATAAAACCAGATAACAACTTGCTGTTTTGCTTTTCACTCTTTTGTTTAGTGTGCTTTCCAGTGTTCCAGCACTGAGATTTCACAATTTATGACTTCAGGGCACGGTTGACAAACATACAGTATCATAATTAGGTCAAGGAGTTTTGCCTACATTACAACTACAGTACGCGTCAAAGAATTCAAAATGCTGATTGTTTCTAACATGCTGCATGCACTGAGGATCTTGCCTTTCAATTCTTTCCCTTTTTCTATTGCCAAAAAAAAACGAACCAAGATTTATTACAAAATCAAATCAGACAACAAAACAAATGACATTCCAAAAGTAACCGTCCTCTGGATGCAAAATACCGACTAATCCGCTGCATGAGAATTTTTCAGAGCTGTTCTGGTGTCATCATCTCCCTAATTCCTGTGCCCCTTCAAATCGAGACAACCAACCGCTGTTAAATTGTGTAGCCTTAAGATGTGTGCAGTAGTGTACGCATTAAAGACAGCTTGCAGTCGGGACCAAAGATGAATTTCTGTTTCTTTCTGCAGCAGTTCCACAGGAAAATGTTTGAAGGCCCTTACACATTGCTGCCATTATGCTGTGCAGCTGGGTGGGGGAGTGAGCCTGTAGTGCCCATCACAGTTTCGTGTTACAGGCTGTTTTGTGAAGTCACAAATCACATAAACATAAACAGACAGCCAACTGAAAACTGTCCCCATCAGATTCAGGAGACACTACATTTCAGAAAGTATTTTTAAATCATCTGAATTTCCTTTGACGGATATAATACTGATTTTATTTCAGTAGTCTATTAAAAGAGTGACTAAACAATAATTTGGAGTTTTTGTACTCTGAGAATTTATGTATGTATACACAAACCCATCAGCCTCTAAGGCAAGATATTTTTTGCCTTTACCTCAATGTTTACCTTCATTTATCCCATTCATAATGATTTTGAGTGTGAGACTCACTGTAGTGTTTCTAAGGAAAATCATTTGTCATGTTCAAGAAACGGGGATATGCTAATGGGTATCTGCCCTTGATTGAAAACCTTTACTTTCAACAATCAAAAGGATAACATTTAGGAACTTGTGCTAAACAGGTTTGGGGTCTGCATTAAATGCACGTTCTAAATTTTAAATTCCTTTTTACGACAAAAGGGTAACTGAGTTTCAAAACCCTTAAAAATACAAGACACGCTATAAAAGTTCCAATTTACAGATACATTCCATCCTCCTATATTCCATGCATTCCCAAGACAAATTTTACTTTATTGCGGAAGCCGTCTCAGTTCTCAGACTGCTTTTCTCCGATAGCATGTTTATGGATTCCAAGTCAAATAGTAACCATGCTATTCTTTACGGAAAATTCTTCCCTTGCGCTCTTCTACTGATTAGTTGGGCTACAGTTGATGACCTCAAGCCACAACCCTGAAAACAAACGAACTGAACACTGTACACTCCAACTGTATAACTACACTGGGGCAACTCATTCCATACAGCTGGACCCAGATGAAAGTTCCATCTTTGCCTCCAGGTAAGCCATCAGAATGAGTTCATTCAGCAATAAGTACAATTAGTTTCCTACAAACTCTAATAATAATTGTCAAACCAGACAGACTAAAACATAAGTGAACAACTGGAAGAAGTATATTTGTCTGAGTAGGTACACAAAACCTTCAACATTGTCTTGTCCTTTTCTGTCATCACCCTTGTTCAACTCCCCTTGGAAACACTGTCTACCATCTGGAACACAGAGTAGTTTCAGACTTGCTGCCAGCCATCAAACCCAAAACCCTGAAACAAGAAACCCTGCTTTCCCTCATCTGAACACAGACGTGTTTATTTAAGATTAGAGGCCAGTTAAAGGCCATTAAAAAGGCACAAATTCAGTGGTGCATCCTGTTTACTTGAAACAATGTGTATAACACCAGCAGCCCCATTCGCCATTATTTATCAGAACCATGTGCCATCGGTAAAGTTTAGGATAAGCATGCAGTTTCTGGAAAGTGAGGGAGAATAAAAGGACCACATCTAAATGAGTGGGACGCGCGTCTTTCAGAGTCAGCTGTTTGTCAGTTACAGCCAAGCTGTTATCTAAAACGTTTCATTAAAAACGCAGCGATTCTTATTAATGACCCGGAGAATTAATTACCGTTTAAAATGAGTAGCGTTTGAGCCATCTCATGCTTGCAAAGCAGGCTCGGCGCTGGCTGGTGTATCTTCAGCGGCGCTACGTTCATTCACACTGTAACAGGTTTATTACAACGTGTTTTGTTTTGCCGGGGTGAGTAATCCGCGGGTAAACGCGCTCTCGCCTCCGCGTTCAAAAGCCCAACATATTCTTTTTTAAAAAAAAAAACCGGGACAGTGCGCAATCAAGAGTAATTTAGCCGTACACCGTGACAAGATGAACAAACGACCCCAATTCCAACTTCGTCAACAAATCCCGAGCAACCTACACGCCAAAAGCTAGCCAAAGCTGGTGTTGTAGGCATACTGCGGCTTTTTTTTCATTACTGTGCCGTGGCAAACCCGGGTCGGAGCGATTTTAACAGGGCTTTGATTGTAACGGCTCGGTGTGACAAGAGCTCCCAGCCGCTAAACCCGAGCCCCCGACACCGAGATTTAAACTGAACGGAGACCCGGCCGGGGGGGGAGGGAGGTCACAGACCTAACGCTGCCAACATGTGTCATAACGCCGGACCTGAGCGTTTCTGTGGCGGGGGGAGAAGGACCTAGGGTTGTAAACGGAGCACCCGAGAAGGAGGTTACCCCCAACTCAGCGCCTCGAAAGAGTCTAACGTCTCCAGGCTGGAAACCAGCGTGTAGAGCACGGGGAAGGCAGCGATCGCTTGGGTGATCCTGGAAATCTCCGAAAGAAAAAAAAAAACCCATCCTTCTCAACGTGTCTCCCCTCCGTCCCCGAAACCCCTGTGACAGGTTTAGAGGCAGGCAGAGAGGGGACTCCAGGTCTTACCGTGAGCTCCGGGTTGTCGTTGTCGCGGTGGGAGACGGCGCGGATGACCCCGGCTCTCCATCCCCAGCGCCCGATCTCCCCGAGCTCCGGCAGCTCCTCTCCGCTGACACACAGGAACCGCTTCCCGACCAGCTCCGGCCGCGCTTCCACCGCCATGGCCTCGCAACGGAGAGTGAGAAAACCCTCGAAAAACTTCCAACAGCAACGCCCTATCGGTCGGACATTTTCTACATAAAACGGCGCTTAAGAAGAAGAGAAGGAAGGAGAGAGAAAGAGAAAGCGACGACGAGGGCAAAAAATAACTGTTATTTAGTCTTTTGCGTGTCGAGCGCAACCCGGGGGATTTAAATTTCTTTCAGTCTCCTCCCGCACAGTCACTTCTTTCGCTCCGTGAAACTGAACACTGAAGCAGATCACTGCCAGCGTACAACTGGTATCCCTCCGCCCCCACGCAAAGCGCACAGCAGTGCAAAACCGCAGCGAGCAGACTTCTCCGTCCGCCAGACACAGATTCATTCTCTCTGGGAGACGGCCGGCTGCGCTGCTACCACCAGACTGTTAAAAATAGTGCCCTGCCGTAACGACAGGGCCGTGCATAACAATAATGTTAGGTTGCTTTTGGTGAAGAGGATAGGAAAGTTAAACGTCAAACTCAAATTCTAAACAGCACGAAAAAAAAAGTCCAGGCATTGTCGACAATGCTATTATTATTTTTGGGTTGGCCAAAATAATAAATCACAAATCCCTGTTACGTTTCGATTGCTCTCTTAGTATTTTTTTATGGTATTTTCCAGAGTGTACTGTAAATCAGGTAAGTCACTGTTGCCTTTCTCATCTCATCTCACGCAGCCTTATTAATGCGGCTCCACGTTTCAGTGAATCAATTAAGGATCTGTGTGTGGATCTTTCTCCGAGCTTACTCTGCCCCGGAGGGTGACCCCTGTGGGCTGTGCTGGAGGAGAGTTAAAAAGGCGGGCTGTTGAATGTAAAACATATCTACAGGACGGAGGCAATCAGCTACATGTCACCCTCAGGTCAGGGCAGTAGATTGAGAAAGATGTCCCGCTGCAGACAGAATCACAAATCCCCGGTTCTTCAGACGGCTGTTTGATGTGCTTGTCTGACAGATCTTCCACTGCACACAGGAAAGCCAAACAGGGTTCATACGCAGGGTCTGACCACGGTATCTCCGCTGTTCATCTGCAGCAAGCCAAGCAACAAATGTTGATAAAGGTTTTTAAAAAAAAAAACAAATTGCCACTGGAATCATTTATTTAAATGATATATAGAACATATTCGTACTGTACATTCTTCATATATTAGCGCTGCCGCAGAGAGGGAAAAGTAGAGTAGGCCTACGTTTTGAATGTTTTGTTTTACGTCTGGAGGCTGCTGTTTGAGATTGACGAGTTTGATTTTTTTGTTCAAATAAATATAATAATTTAAATGAGATATTTAAGGCAAATAACGTGCCAAATCTTTTTTTAACCCACCTTTATCAAAACGCCTTCCTTGTACATCAAGGTAAGCTAAAGATATTTGACTTATTGATAGTTTTAAGTACAACTTGTATACATGTGTTACGCATGAACTAGTTGTATGATACGCGTCTATAGTTATTTTTGTTTCCTAAGCGACAGGGTTTCTAAGGGTTGCACAACGCGATGTCTACTTGCACTCCCACCAGAGTGCGGAGCAGGTTTACAGGACTCATTGTTTGGTTGCGCACTGTGCTTCAAATGCATCTGCTACAGATAGTGATGGTAATGGATGATAACACTTTCCGATGTAAATTCCATATTTTTTCAAACAACCGCCATCTTCTTGATTTTTCCACGTAACACCCCAGTCGGATTCGTTCATGTTTTTTTTTTCTCTCTCCCTTCACTCAATAAACGTTTTTAAAAATTGCTTTGAAACAAAGGTAGCAGCGCACCGGGTTTGCAACAAACTCTTCACCCTCCTCAGAGTGCTCATCTTTAGCACCACTGTTCAAGGGAAGTAAAACGCATTGACACCTCCTAAAAGACAGCAGCGATGACACAGTTGCGAAAACAAGCGTCCACTTTGTCCCGAAGTCCTATTCTTTCTTTACAATGCTGTTATTAACCGTGCCAGCGCCTTTTTGTTTGTCTGTGCTGTGGTGAGTGCTCACTCCCCTGCGACTGTGGCCACGGAACCAGAAGGGAAATTCCCTCGGCTGCAGATATGTTCATGAATAACAACAAGATTAGCGAGAGTCCACAATTCACACACGTCATCTGTTGCCAAGCGCATTCCTCCACATGTGGGAAATGAGTTTGTCTCCGAGTTAAACACTGTATTCATTTATTTCTATCAGTTAGGAGACACTCCCATCTTATTCTTAGCAGCCAATAAAATGGGTCTGGGATAAACAGCAAAAGTAACACAGCATGGTATCGTAAAGATGAAAAAAAATGTGATGTAAAAGAATTTATTATGCCCCAATTTGAAACAGATTGCAGGAAATAACCAATCATAATTAAGCATTACAACGTTTCTATTTGTGTGCACAGATCATTCGTGAGCTTATGCAGACAAATGTATTTAGAATTTCTAGTGAGCGTGTCAGTGTCTTGTGTGGGACATACGTACGTGCCTGGGTGATTAATGTATGCACATGTCTGTTCATGCGTTTCACTCCTGTGAGCGTTATGTATTTTATATGCAAGTCTGTTGTAGATTACACCCTGCTCAAATATACATCATCGCAAGAAAAAGAACCCCGTGTTCTAATATTTTCTTGCGGATGCCTCTCTAGCATCAATACCAAGATTGTTTTCTTTAACTCTTATAGTCGTTTCATCTACTGTATCCCAGAAGATTTCGTCGTGCTCTGGCGAAGTGGGTGATTTGTATTGTTGCGAATGCAGAGGAATTGGCACGCGCTGCCTATATCACTGTTACAGCAGAAATTCCAGAACAGAGGGAATATTGTGTACTAATTTACCAAGGTTACCGAGGGGGGCGGGCGGTCCGGGGCTGGTTCCAAGTATAACATTTCCATCTCCAACAACTACCTTCTAAAGTCACTTGCAGAAATAGACATCTGCTACAATTGTCCTATTTCTTTGCTAACTGTTCCGATCCGAAAGGGATACCGTGAGATTTTCAGGATTTTACATGCTTCGGTTTGGGATTCTTTCATTTCCCGGTTACCTGTGCTCGAATCTGCGTGGTTTACACGGAATTAGTTGTGGTCTGAAGACCTGGGTGCATATTATTCCTTATCAGAAACGTGCAGTGTATGTTCCCCTAGTTCCCCCAGAGATTCAGCCAGCCCTGTTGTTCAAGGAGGGCTGTGAAATGGTTAGGACGTGATCAGGTCAGGAATGAGGTATTCTTAGAGGAGGGCTGCGAGATGATGTTTTTATAACACCCACTGGCACTGTTGATGAAACTGAAGTTCTGTTTATTGAAGACCAATTAATCCCCCATAGGGAAAAACAAACGCAGAATTAAATCGAAATTTAAGAGAGGCGGTATGTAGCTTCGCCAGCTTTCGTATAAAATTACGGGTATGGGACTTGTTTACAAGAATAGAAGAAAACATAACATTTTGTCCACGGAGTTTTTAAATTGCGTCTACGAAAATAAAATTTTTACAAATATATAAATATTCCAACTGTATCTGATTTATGCGCAATTCGGTTTTATCTGTGTAAGTTTTCATATTTATGTATTCGATTGCTGCAGTCATCAAAAGAAAAAAAAAATCCCTGAAACAGCCAAATAATATGTATAATGTTTTTTTATAGATTGATTCAAGATGTATGTCTATACATGGTTAAGGGCGTATTTATTTACATATAGTAAAAATATCTTTATTGAAATTATAGTGGTGCTTTGGGTTTGTACATGAGAAACAGGATTTTTGTTTTCAAATCTTGAATGTTATGCTATGATTATCAGCAAATACTGTGCAGTGGTCAGATTAGTACATGGAAATTTCAGCTTTCTGTAGCTGCACAAAACTTCGCCCAATCAGTGGTTCCCATGGAAACTAGATCCCCGCGTAAGGTGACTGAAACTGAAGAGCATTGAACAGGTTTTCAGAAAATTCTCATTTTCAGATAATGATAATAAAAAAGGACTTGTCAAGTGTTCACAAAGATGACTTAAAATAAACATTTAGTCTATCATTTTATATATTATAATATTTACATGATTCAAAATAATTGTGTGTGCACCATTTTGGTATCACATATAAACACTGAAACAAGGATAATGAATGTGCAGTACAGTTATAAAATGTTGTTCTATCCATGGCTCAAATGTACAGCAAAAAAGGACATTATCTAAGAAAACTACATAGAAATAGAAATAGAAATGATCTGATATAGGAAGAAAAACGTATGGCACCTCAGACAACTGACAACATTTCTGGATCTGTATTAATCAATTCATCAATCACAAATACTGTATTTATTGCAATGTTGTATATGACGTGTCAAAGTCAGACACTGGCTGTTTTTGGTTGTGGTGCGCAAAACAGATTCTCTTTGAAAGTAAAACATCTTCCCTTTTACCTTAGATCAGTGGATACAATATTGTGGAGCACACACGTAATGCAGTCAGAGAGGCAATCGTTTATGCATTGAAAGATTTTTTTCCTTACGCTCTCTATGTGTAATTCGTTTTAAAAATAAAAAATGAGACTGCATTCTGTAGTGCTTTCCATCCCAAAGGATCCCAAGGTGACTTACAGCCCCCTTCCTCCACCCCTGCAGTGCTGCCCCCGACTGAGTGAGATGTAGCAGCCATTATACACCAACAGCCTCATTACATAGCAGATTATGTAATGAGGCTTCTCCAGTACAATTAAGGGGGGACTTCAGGGAGACCAGACTGTTCAAGCGGTGGGTGGAATTTTGTCAGGACCCTGGGGTTAACACTCCTACTCTTTTCAAAAATTAATCATTTCACAACTGAAGGATGGCACCGCCCGCATCACAGTTTGGAACCCCGCTACGGAGAGAAGAGTGTCACCTACTGGTCCACTAACGCCATTTAATACAGCAATGTGATTTACTCCGAATTCTGCCATTATAGTACTGTGCAGGTCCAGGCCTGTGCAGGTCCACGGTCTCCTCTATTGTTATTGTTGTATTGTTGTAATTATAATTGTGTCCTGTCTTGTGAAATTTTCTTATTTATTGTTGTAGTCTTCTTATTTATTGTTATTGTCATCCTGTAAAGCGCTTTGAGAAGCCACCTTTAAAGGCGCTATATAAAATAAAGATTATTATTATTATTATTATTATTATTATTATTATTATTATTATTATTATTATTATTATTATTACTTAGCTTCTGAGATCTGATGAGGTCAGGCTAGAACGTTGCAATGCTGTTGTCAGGCATCAGGTTTACCATGACAAGATTAGCAGTATAAAGAAAAACCCCCTTTACTGTATGTTGCAGAATCCTGCTGGTCACATTCTGCTTATTAGGTTCAGCAGTGATAAAGCACCTGAATTACGGAAGCATGTTTATACAGCCGAAATGACTCTCCAGCAGGGGGGTATCTGAACTATCAGGTGTGCCCATCTCAGAACACAAACCTACAACTGCAGAAACATGTTTGCAGCTACTATTTTAGTATGCACTAATGAGTAGAAATGTTTGCTGAAAGAACCACAAGGAAGCTTTTAAAAAGACCATAATACTGAGTCATTACACAGTATAGCCAGGCTGATGAAATGTGATTATACACAAGGTTGAAGAAAAATAGCCTCCCTGGCTATACCATAATCATGTCCTTGTGTACTACAGACACAACAGTATAATTTGTAAAAGGCACATGTTGAAGACTGCAGTGTTGTGCACTGAGACACTTTGTTCAGTGTGAGAGTTTAATCTGACTCGGGACACTGTTCCAAGACTCGATCTTAATAGCTGCTTAGAAATCAAGAACACGTATTTCAAGAAGTAAATAAACCCCCAGTGAAAAAAAAAGAGTCCCGTCACATATTTGAAATAAACAAACAATCCAAATTAAACACTTAAAACTTTCAAAACTTTGAAATTATAAATGGTTTTTAATGTTTTCGTTTTGACATTAGAGTTGTTAATTGAGCAAATATCAACTACATGGGTAATAAACATGCTCTCAGGCAGAACAAGAGATATTGCTTGTTTTGTGCCATAAATCTATATCATAGCAAGTTAATATGGATCAACTTTTAATGCATGTGCTTGGGTTTAGACCCGGTCAATGGATAGACTGAATGCTTGTATTTAGTGGAGTACATCATGGATCTGTATTAGGGCAATTTCTCGTCCTAATTTTAATAATTTATTTAGATTAGTGACCAAGGTGGATTCGCAAACACTGTAGTAATAATAATGATGATAGTAATAATTATTATAATAATAGCTTACACTTATATAGCACTTTTCTGGACCCTCCACTCAAAGGGCTTTACAGGTAATGGGGACTCCCTTCACCCACCACCACCAACGTGCAGCATCCACCTGGATGATGCAATGGCAGCCGTATTGCGCCAGAACACTCACCACACACCAGCTATCAGTGGGGAAGAGAACAGAGTGATGAAGCCAATTCATAGATGGGGATTATTAGGAGGCCATGACTGGTAAGGGCCAATGGGAAATTCGTCCAGGACGCCGGGGTTACACCCCTTTTCTATTTGAGAAACGCCCTGGGAGTTTTAATGACCACAGAGAGTCAGGACATCGGTTTTACTTTTCATTCGAAGGACAGCGCCTTTTTACAGTATAGTGTCCCCATCACTGTACTGGGGCATTAGGACCCACATGGACCTCTGGGTGAGCGCCTCCTGCTGGCTTCATTAACACCTTTTCCAGCAGCAACCTAGTTTTTCCCAGGGGGTCTCCCATCCAGGTACTCACCAGGCTCATACCTGCTGGGGTTCAATGGGTTGCCATTTGTAAGTATCAGGGTGATATGGCTGCTGTAGAAGCACCAAGAGAATTTCAAAAAGATTCAGAAATAAATCAAGACTGGGCAAATACCTGGTAAATTACATACAGTGTAGGCGAGCTCAGAGTATTGCATGCTTAGCAAAAATATAAAATGCAAATATTGAAATGGGAAATGCAATGAACTTCAAAAAACAATTATTGCAAAGACTGATGAGTTCATGTATACATCATTTTTCCATTCATTGTGGGGAAGGAATAAAAAAAGGAAAACAGAATGTTCAAATGCATAGCTCAAATCATATAATTTAAATAAAGGGCTATTATAAATCATCATCATATAAACATATAAATATAAACCACCACATTGGTGGTGGTGCGTGGAGTGTCCAGAAAACTGCTATATAAGTGTAAGGAATTATTATGAATTCTTCTTCCTTTTAATAATAATAATATTAATAATAATAATAATAATAATAATAATAATAATAATAATAATTATTATTATTATTATTATTATTATTATTGTTATTATGAAACAATACACTAAATATTGTGTACAGTTTTGATCCACAAAAATATTGTTGTCCTGGAATCAGTCAAGAGACAAGGAACCAGAAATATTCCCAAACTTAAATTAATGTCTTACACCGCCAGACTAAAACAAAGGGACATTTTTAGTATAAAACAGACAAGACTACCAGATCACTGAATTCTGGTATTAAAAAAATCCTCAGTCACTTACAAGGGTAATCCAGTGCAGTTCTCCAGAATCATGAACTAGAGCAGTGGTTCTCAAAGTTCTATAGTCCACGGACCACTTACACCAAGTCACAGATGTAGTGGACGACCTATGCCTACGTCCACTTCTTACCCTGTACAAATTATCACTAAAATTAATAGTGAATTAAAATTTATGAAAGTACTAATATTTTTACAAACAAAATTGCATATTTTGCAAATGATTTTATTACTTAAAAAGTTAATGTGAAGAATGGAGCTGCTTCGACTTGCTTTAAGAAAGATGACTAGGACCACGGACCACACTTTGAAAACCACTGAGCTAGAAGAGGCATGTGTGAACTGCATAGAAGTGCATTTGAAACCGGGAACTGATGACATGACCGTAAAGAAATGGTAAAAGCTGATGCCCTGGCTTCTTCAATGAAAGGGTGATGTCGGATCAATTAGTTATCAGCCACCAAGCAGTGCTAGAGGAATGATGAACAAACTTCCCTGTCGCAGCTCTTCTTATATGCTTAATATGAGAGGCATGCAGACTTTCGTGTGTCTTGGAAACTTGGAAATCGGAAGAAACTTGCTACAGTACATGTCTTTATTTTGTGCCAAATTTCAACATTCAGAATTGTTTCCATAAGGCACAGAATAAAAGAAATATCTCTTGGACCAAAACATTGTTAATCTAAAACAAAAGTTGCCCACATGGAATAAATGGACTAAATAAATCTGCAGCACATACTTCTTTTGGAGTAGAACAACTAATCTTTTTTCATGTCTGTCTTACTTTTAACGTTTGTCTTCTATGCACACAGGAAATATTCATATTTTAAAAAGATCTGAACCTTTATTGCTTCCATTTACGTTAACATAAGACAATTAGTATTTTAAGATTTCTTTATACTAATTACATTGCATAGCCACACATAATATATTCCACATTCATCTCACTGTAAAAAAAACATTAGATAATGATGATCTGCATGATATTTATACACTTTCAAATGAATGTGTGTATTAAATTAATAATATGTAATATGTAATAAACATCCTAAATGGGTGTTTCTCTATATGAAATCCACGTTGGCATATGACTCGGTTCCAAAAAGCATAAAAATTGGTACAGCCTGAGTTGACTACACCACGCCTTGGCCTTGCAGGGGCATATCAATACTTCAAAATGAGTGGCACTCGCTGCAGCCAATCGCCTCGAAACACTTCCTGTAAACAATGTGGCGTAGACCAATCGTGCTCAAGCAGTAAGGGAGGGCATTCGAGGGGTGGGACTTCCAAAAGTCTTCGTTTAAATCGCACATGACGTAACGCCGCAGAAAGGTGCGGGAGGGGGCTGGATAGGAGATTTGGAGAGATTTAAATAAAAACGAACACAAATCTCCTGATTGAGCAGAAGGTTATAGGTAGAGGTCTTCGCTTGGCCGCGTTAGCAAAGGAGCTTTTAGCGCTTTTTGGAAAACGAAGGAATTGTTATGGTTAGTTTCTTTAAGAATAAATAGTGTAAGTTTTCCTTGAAGTTTTGGTGAAGCCGCCGGGCGCCGTTCGGCCTCCTGAAAAGCAACACCGGGCCCTCTGTCCTCTTCTCCGAGCGCCCCGCCGAGCTGAGGTGGGAGGGGGTGACGGAGAAATATGGTATCCTGGATCATCTCGAAGGCAGTCGTGTAAGTCAGACGGCGGTTTTCGGCGTTAGCGCGACGTGTGCGATCGGGAGTTTGGTCTCCCGGCGGTCGGTGGGCCCGGCCGGGAGAGACGAGTCGCTGAAGGCGGACGGTTCAGCCCAGAACAGGCACCGGAGCCCCGGTTTATTAAAACAGCCGCCGGCCCAAGGTATCAGCAGATACAGGGTGTGACCTGGCCGCTGTCCCGCACTCAGAGGCGGTTTCAGAGGCCTGGGACTGGACGCAGTTTTGACTCGGGGTCGAACCGACGGCCCACCCTGAAACTAGGCTCGGGCCTCTGCGTTGAGCTCGGCTGAGGTTAGCTCAGATGGAGTGCTGCAGTGTTTTTTTACAACGCCTTTGAGTTGTCTGCTTCTAATATTGCTTTATTGGGGGCTCTCGGTACCCGGTATTTTTAACGAAGAGTCGATGGGTCACCAGAAAGCCCACCGCAGAATTATGCGAGGATATTATTTGACTTTTTCGGTCTCATTACTGGATATGTAGAGGTTCTTGTGCTCATTATACTCATATCCGGTTGCTAATTGCTTTTGTAGGGTTCGGACTTGAATAAGGCAGTAAGTACCCTGTCTTAATGTCGAAACTGAATGTACTAAACACAGGTGTTATTTAAGCTTGCACATTTAAAACATTTACTGTCACGGTAGAAAGTACAGCAAGTTGACGTTGTATTTGGTGTTGGTCCTTTGAGTATTTTTCGTGCGATTTTGTTTTGCTTGGATCCTTACCATTGTGAGTTTTTAACAGACCCTTTTATTTAACCAATCCATAACCCCTGTTGCAGTTACAGTATGCACATTTGCTCATTGTTATCCCCGTTTACAAGGTTAATTGATATACCGTATAAGGTTTTTCTCTGAGACTATGAAATAGCGAGTATAAACGATATGTCTATTATGATTTGAACAATACAGTGTTTTTGTTCTGGTATAAGTATTTTTTTTTCTTTTAGTAGAAAAATGTTTATTCTGACTCAAATGCACAATCATTTTCATGTAATTATAAAAAAAAAACTTATTATAAACTACAATTATTGTTTTGTTTTTAATTTTCAGGATTTAAGTCTCTTAAGTGCCAAGATTTCTCAAGGTCAATAGGACAAAGACAGGAATCCTAAACAGATTGCTTAAATTGATACTGCAGATCAGGATGTCGCATGTCTGTCATCTGTACTCTTGAATTCACTAGTTCATAACACCCCTGGATAAGTTTGGCTTTTTATTTTCCTTAATTGTTTTGTTGGCAGTTGCTGCTGTTATGGTAATTGCAACGTTATGTAAGGTGGAATTCAGGATACATCATGGTATTGTCATTCACTCCTAACTATAAACCTGCAAAGCCTGAATTGAGATGAATTGCCGAATCTCAATTAAGGTGTGGTAGAAACTGGATGTAAAACACATGTGTAATTTATTTTGCATATTTTAGTTGGCAGTTCCACAGAAAAAATTGGAATGAAAAGATGACTAAAACTTCACAGTTGTTTTTAAAGCTCAGAGTACTATTAATTAAATTTCTCTTTTACTACAGTTAGCTTCTGATTGGAAAGCTAGAAATATTGTTTGCAATGTTTTTAGTGGGGAAGCAGGCATAAATAGTTCATACTGATTTCAAAGTCTTTTGGAGTTGCCACTTATCTCTTTTTTTTTTTTTGACAGTTATGCCGTAGTGTTGTCAACCCTCTGGAAGACCCTTCCAGTCAGAGTACAGATGGAGTGTGTGTATGGGAAATCTCAGTGGAAGTAACTGTTCAATATTCCTGATATAAAAAAGAGAAGAAAAGTAATTTAGCAAAATATAGCAGTCATACAACAGTACATGGATTGTGACCTTAGTGTGTTTTTTTACAGTCCTTTCAGTCTTGGGTGGTGCTGTATAGTTAGCCTTTGAGTTGCACGTGGCAGCCACAGTGAGGAGGCTTGGCTTGTAATATTGCTTAGTGTTTGCAAGTCTGTCTTGAACTGTGGGATTCATGCATATACAAGGGCTGTTATAAACGTGTTTACGTCTGGTTATTTTATATAGCTTACTGTCTTTTAATATAACCCTGAATGAAGAAATGACTTGATGTCTGAGAACTTTTTTTCCCCAAGATCTCAAGTGGAGAATTTACTTAACGGCACATCTTTAAGCTTTTAGTTTTGGGGCACAGTTAAACTTTCAGAGTGCAGTTTATGAACCAGAGTGCTTAATGAATATTCTTTAAATATCTACAGTGTGTTAAACATAAAGAGAATAGGACTATTTAAACAAAAGCATTACATGGATTTTTTATATTTTTGACATTTGACCAATGTTTTGAGTTCAATAAAAAAAATCGGCCAAGTTTCCCAGTGTACTAAGTGACAAGTATCCTCCCACAAAAACAATGCTAAAGATGTCACCCATGTTAAATTGAGATGTTGCTTGTAATAAATAATTTTGTAGAAAGTTACTGCTAATTTTAATGAGGAGATCTTTATTTTAGCTGGCAGCAGTCACATTAAGTGAATAACTTATTTTTTCCTAGCCGACATAGAGACCTTTTAAGAAATAGTGCAATTGTACATATCGGAGTAGGAAAAATACTTTTTTTAGTTATTTTCTGATTCACTGCTGCTGCTTCTGATGATAACAGACATTCAGATCTTTAAATATGTAGATATTGTGGTTTTTAGCTATTGTTTTAATAGCAAAACCTTTTTAATTAAGGAAAGTAGTTAGCCGATGGGAATTCTTCAGCATGGTTCAGTGGGGTGAAAAATTGTTGATTCAGCAACATGAGCTCGTGTCTGGCTTTTTACTGTATATGCTTCAGCTATTTCTTTGTGCATGATGAGGGCATTGTGTCAGTGTTTCTTAACAGGAAACCTGTAGCTGACCTAAAACAGTGTCAAGGCCTGTCTGAAGGTGGTATTTGTTCAGCTGCTTGGAGTGAAAGTGAGGCCCCAGTTTACTAAATTGTTTCAAAAAAAATTCTAGGCAGGTGCTGTTTCCTTTGAGTTGCTAGTTTCGGAAGAAATATCACTCTCCTGTTTAAACAGTCTGCTGGAATAACATGCTGTCTGTTTTTGCTTGGAAGAGGCAGATTGGTTTCGATCATGCAGGTCTGAGATTGCAATTAGCAGGGTGAGAGACCACAGCCTGAGGTCAGGGCTGGCATGGCATCCACAGTACCAGTGGAAAAATGTTTTTTCGCACGTTTGTTTTGCATAGCTTCCTTGTGATCTTGTGTTTTTGAAGCGTTGGTCTTCTAGTTAGTAATGGGAAATAATTTTGTTGCTGTTTTAGAAAAGCATGTCATCTGAGGTTTTGCATTCCACTTACATTAGGTCAGTGACTTTCCCTCCTGGTCCTGGAGGTTCACCATGTCTTCTGGTTTGTGTTCAACACCAGATATTTACTGACTCTATTTGCATCACTTCTTCTCTTGATTGGTCTGTATTCCTGCTGTTTCCAGGTCTTGACTCATTGAGGATTAGAGGTAACCTGTAAAACCCAGCGGACCGCAGTCATCCCGGATCAGGAGTGAATGTCACTCACTGCCTTAGATTAACAGCCTGGCTCTCCTTTCCAACACACTCGCTTACATTACTGAAGTGACTACACTGCACATTACACAGCAGGATATAATTACGGTTAACCAGGGTCTTAAGTATTACTGTGTGGTCATGAAACATACTTCAGAGATGTATAGGTTACAGATAACTTATTTTTAAATCTTTGATACAGTTTGTTCATTTATAGCATTCCTTATTTCCACGTGTTATGGTAATGGACATATATGCATTATGGATTAAATTAGAAGCCATGTTGGAAATTTATAATGTGTTGAACTGTGGATATTTTGTGAATCATTTTACTCCTTGTACTTGAGGGCTTATGAATCTTGGTTGAATCACATGAATCATTTTGGATTTCTGCTAAAATTTTACCAACATCTGTAATTTATATTGTGATCTTCAGGATGGATAAGAATGTTTTCATACAATTAATCATTTGCTTCTGGTAAAGGTTTGGTGATCAAATCAACCCAAATATTGCTGCATTTCACATCAGATGTCAGAGTTAGATTATAGGAGAATAAAACGCTCTTGTTCCTTTGAGCTGAAACAGATTTGTTCATTCTGGAGCAGGGTCCTGTGGTTGACCTATTACCTATTTATTAAGAACTAAACAGGGTGTACTGTATTGTGCTGGTTGGCATTTTGTCTAGTTTGTAAGTTTACAAATTGAATTCATTATCAGTTTTGCGAGAGGCATGCAGAAATTTTCATATTTCTGTCTTAGCATTTGGTTTGCTTTATTGAAGTAATTTTAACAATTTTTCATCCATGATTTGTTACTTGAAACAAATTATGAAAAACTATTTTTAAAAATCCTCAGGTCTAGGTTAAAATATATACTCTTGTTTTAGATATATGGACACTTGATACCCATAGATTGTGAATGCACTGAGATGAGGAAATGCTTCAAATAAAAACCCAATAAAATCCTTTGTGAAAGGAGAAAATTGAATTACCATCTCTTAACTGTATGAGCAGATAAGTATATGTAAGTGTATTGTGGAAACAGATTTTTAATGTTTGACTTATGCTGATTACGGGAAATAGTTATTTATCCAAGACTTAAGGCATGCAGTGTTTGTAGGTGGTGAACGCCTTCATATGAATGGAACAACTATTTTTTTTTATTTCATGTAACAGTCAAACCCATCTTATCTTGGGAGGTTAGAACTAACATTTTGTCTTTATATTTTTCGAATAGATGTTTTTTAACCTTCTCGGGAGAAGTTATGTTTCATTACTTGAAGATTCTTCTCTTCCCTAAAATTCGAAGCCAAGCCAAGTTTCTTACAGAAAAAAATTGCCGAATATATTTGCTAAGAAATGTGTTTGTTAACTTTTAACACTAAATTTCAATATAAGGCACGATCTGGAAAGTGAATGTTTCTGTCCAGGTCTTTACTGTGTGGATAATCCAGTACTAGAATCTTGTGGTAAAACTCAATAGTTAAAAGATGTGTTGAGATTGAACGGCAGATGCTCTCTAGAAGGTTTTTCTTCAAGCGGTTTGTCCACAATCCACATGTATTAAAGGTGACATTGGTGATCAATAAAATTAACATTTTAGTGAAAATCCCAATCAACAGTTATCTTCAGAATATTAAGGCCATGAACCCATTCAGTAAGGGAAAAATTAAAAAGGTCTTTCCTTCTTTTAGCCCTGATTGTGACTTCTAGATCAGCATATGGTCTCAGAACCACATAAATCATTGCAAGATCTTGGCATTGTCTGTGTTTGGTACATGTTTACGTATTGGACTAAGCTATTGGACTGCTGATACTACAGAGCTTTATATTCAGAAGTGACATTAAAACTTACAGCATAATCAGCCAGTGAGTTTCCTCTTGACTGGTAAGGAAGAGGAGATTGACTGGAAAGGGCTAATTACAGTAAAGAGACATTTGTTTCAATGCTCAACAGATCAGATATGTTTGAATACAGTGTAATTACCTGGTTATGACTAGTTTGGGTTGAACATAAATTTTCTTCTGACCTTCTAGAATTTCTTAATCATTTTGGGAAAGACGTTTTCTTTGTGGTATGTAGCTAGACCTAGGTATGTTGTGGCTTAGCTTGTAATTAAGTCTGACTGATAGTATTGCCATGTCTGTTAAAGGTGCATATACTTCCAAAATGCAGCAGTTACTTCCCCTAAATATTTAAGTAACACTCTGTCCCATTTCAGTTTATAGATTTAGAAGGTTTTGATATGCTTGTAGAAAGTGTTACATAAAAATGTTCTCTCTGAGGTTTTGCTTGGTTTCTAAAATATTTCACTGTATGATTGTCAAGTCAGCTGCAATGTATGTTATTTGCAATGAGATTGGAGTGATGTGATCAGTCTTACTGTAGGCTTTATGACCTGCTAATAAAGGACTAATGCATTGAATACGTTTGGGACCTGGCATTTTACCCAGTGACTTCAATCGTTTATTTTTTTCCAGGCTATAGAGAGGCAAGTCAGAGGTTTTGCATTAGTTTACTTTTCCCAATAGCTTGTACTATAGTAAAATTGTGACTACTATTCAGGCACAAGGCAGTTCACTTTTCTGTGCATCTCAAATGTCTTGATTGGGGGAAAATCAGCTCCTGATGCTTTGTCTAATTGAAGATGTAAAAAAGCTGGTTTGTAAAGGATTTGTTGTAACTTATCTTTCCTTAGACATTAATAAACATTGCCTGTCCGATTTCTGAAATATTAAGTGAATTGTTTCATATTCAATATTTACACAGAATATGTATGGGAGGAAATAGGTTGTGTGGCTATATGCACAGCATGGCTAAATGAATGAAAATAGTAATTGAAAAGTCTCCCTTTAGTCTCTATAAGTGGATCTTATTCAGACCATCCTTGTGTATGAGCTGGAGTGTTCCAGGGTGTGTGGTGGTGTTTGTTCTGCAAGGAATGAGGCTATACTTAGAATCCTGCAGTTGCTATGGTAACTGGAAAATAAACTACAGCCAAGGTGGATCCCTGGATTGATGCCATAAAAAATAAAACTGAAGGAAAAGGAAAGTTCGGTGTTGCATACACTCTTCGGATTGTCATTGAATTGTTGAATATGAAGTGTAAGGTTTACTGATTGTGGTGTAAAATCTAAATTCCTTCTCCGATGTGTTTTTTAAAATGCCTTCAATAGCCATGTGTTTATTTCTGTTGAATCATTTTTTTTCCTAATTGATATTTTACAGTCCACAAGCATGACTTAAAAAAGGCTTTGTTTTCACAAATGCCCAAGTAATCTTACAAGACATTTGGAAAAACGAGGCCTGTTTTTCACTACCCGGCATAATCTCCTCGGGAAAGGCTTTCTGCAGGGATTACTGGATTAGGTGGGTTTGCTCCCAGTAGGTGCTTTGTGGCTAAAACCGTATCCAGAAGAATGCAAACAATCCTGCTGATGTTGAGACGGAAAGATTGCAGCTTACGGTTTCCAAAAACACTGTGCTCTTGCTGTCCTTGTTCTTCCTCTCCGTTGCATTTTATTGCCTCTCTGTTTTCTAGAACAATAAAAAGCATATTTTCCTCTTAGATACAGGCGTGCAGTTCGGGGAGGTAAGTGGAGGGCCCTGGTGAGGGAGCAGTTAAATGAAGGAATATCCAGGAAGTCTTCAAATAGAAGTGGTTTATTTTGATTTAGAAAAAGCATTGTTCTTTTTTTTTACAAATTTAAAGACTTCATTGAGTTATTTATTGATGATATAACTTTTCTTGGCATTCGCAAAACCTTAAATTCAGTACCTTTCCTGCAAATGAGAAAATCAATGGTATTTGCAGTAAAATGTAAGTTAATTAAATCCTTGCAGCAGAGAGCAGCTGGAAGCCGGTCTCGGGGTCCAGTCTCCTAAAATCTGCCTGGTTGCTGCCTGCAGGGCTGATCAGAGCTGAGATTTGTCATTGACTTGGAGCGACGGAGCCGTTCCCTCTCCAGTCCCGTGATGCATTCCAGCAGTTAGGCCCAGAGTCTTCTGCTTGCAGTGGAAGTTCAGCTGAATAGTCTTTACATTTCTCTTCCTGCCATGATGCAACTCTTAATCTCCTTATTGTGAATGGTTGTAAGTATATATAAGTGGATTCCCAAGTGTCCCAGGAGGGGACGGTATAAAATGGCAAGTTCAGATACATTCTGGCTGGTGGAAGCTGTTCAAATGAAATTAGCAAACACCCATGCAAGCCCCCACGTCTCTGTTTTATTTCCAAGTCTGATCTGTACAGGAGTGAGCAGTAGGTTGTGCTGACTGCAGTAATCACACTTGGTAGAACTGTGACATGTTTTGCCATTGCACGTTTCTGATCGGTTGCCAACTGCACATAGCTGGCACCACCTGCATTGATTTGCTGCCTTTTTTCTCTGCCCTCTGGGGGCAACTACTAACCCTGCAGCTGAGGAAGATCACCCGATTCAATTAGTTTGCGTTGCGTGATGGAGTGTTCTACTCCGCTGGCAGTTTCACATCAGGCCACTGCCTGATTGTAGTAGCTGGGAAAGTAAAATTGTGGAACGGCAGTGAAATAAGGTTGCACAGCCGACGTTATAAAATTTGATATTTTAACGCAAGTGAAATCAAATGAGCAGCTACCAACAATATAAAATATAAAAGCATAATTTTCTAACTAAAACTGAATCTAGATTATTCATCATTCTTCTTAAGTCTTTGACTTATTAGACCAACATTGATATTGAAATGGTTGCTACTACTTGTGTATAAAAACATCTTGCATACATATAACACTGAAAAGATTTTAAGCCATTTCAGGTGTTGGGGAAAAATGGGTTACTAAATTACTTTATCCAAGTTAAAAATAATGTAAAAGCTATGCATTTCAATTTCTGTTCCAGCACTCAAGATCATCTTGCTGTTGAATGTCTATTATAATTAGCTTGCACATAAAGCAAGAATGACTACATGTGAATTATTTTAGTTTTCTTATTCAAAATATTCTGGAATCTCTGAGTGCTATATATGAAATTTAAGTTTATTTTTGTTTTGATTTTTAAAAAATATTTCCTGTTTTTGAAGGCAAGTGTTTTTTTTATGAAATCAGCCAGTGCCTGCTAAAGTTTTCCTGTTCGTGGAAATGCTGCAAAATAAGAACTATGTACTAATTGCTTAATGCAGCTGGATAGCTGAAATAGTGGGGCCCCTCTGCTGCCAGTTCTATGCATGGTTAAACAGGATTACCCATAAATCTAGTGGAGTGGAACAACATAAATTAGATTCAGCTGAAACCAGCTTCCAGATGAAAGACTGGCTTTGTTCCCATCTGGTATATTAGAGCAGGTCATCTACTCACAGGATGTGCCGTTTTCTTCACTCTACGTGCCCAGACGATGGTTTACAAAAAGCAATATTCTGCTGTCTTTTAAAATGCATCTCATTTTTTAAAATGTGCTTTAGGGCATTTCTCTTCAGCCTTTTACCTGAATCGCCAATGAATACTTTGAGCAGTAAGGATTTTAGTGGGATAAAATTATAGCATGCATTTCTTTTATACTGCTGCTGGAAAGTTCAGATTTGTTTTGTGAATCTTGTGCATTTTTTGTTTATGGCCAAAAACTGTTGTAAGAATTTGTAGCATTATTTATTGCTGAAATTTCAATGGTACAAACCATTAATTTTTTTCATGTTCAATGCTACTCTCTATTTTAGGATTACTTTATTTTTTTATTATAAATCTTTCATTTGTTTAATGGTTCTTTGAGCAAAGGAAATCTGTCTGCCCAAAGCATGTTTACCCCCTTCCTTTATATGATCAGAAATGACTAAAGACCTTTGTCTTATGGAGAAGAGACAAAATCGGTGGATATTAAGGTTGTTGTTAGTCTAAATTATGTAAATCGTGAGTTGCACAGAACAATGACATTTCAGAATTGAGTTTGCCACTCTTTTGATGTCTAAGGATTTTTTTTTTCTTTAAACAGGCTTATTTTTGGAACACTATACCCAGCATATAATTCCTACAAAGCAGTGAAGACCAAGAGTGTTAAAGAATATGTAAGTATGAACTCATTTAATTTAAGATTAAGTTCTCAATCGATATTGATTGCTTGCCCTAGTGTAGAGGCACAGGTGATTTTTAAGCAAGTATTCAATGTCACCTTTCTTTTACATTATGAGGAAATAGTTGGATATGCTCATGGGGATGTTCACAGTGCAGAAACCTACTTAGTATTTGTGGGGTTTTCTCCTGAAAAGTTGTTCAGTTTTATTCTGACTTTCCTATGGTGAGCTGATATAGACTGCACAAAGGTTAATGACACAATTATGACCTATGAATTTACTTTAAGATGGATAGTCTTGTCCTTGTTCCTCCATAATCCCCCACAATTAAGGGAAACAAGCCAGCAGCCCCCGTTAAGTTTCAAGATCCAGTTTTGGATGTATTGGCAATAATTTAAATAAGTACCTGTAGGCAAAAATGTTCTCTTGTTCTTGTCCTGTTTCATATATAAAACATTTTAGGGTGCCTTTTTTCAAAAGTTATCTCTATATATATTTTCCATCTTTTCACACATTCAAGAAGCAATTTTAAGGTGTTGCATTCAAGAGTTGGTTCCTGACTGGCAGTTCTGTGAAATCCTGGCAGAGAGCGAAGCTGTGTAAGAAAGCAAGCCTTTGTCTATACTGTTAGCGCCCTTTTTATTACTTGAAGAAATAAGTATAAACCTTAGCTTTGGTCAGGGTTGTCACATTGAGGATCAGGTTATTTGAATCTAAAAATTCTCTTCCTTCTGATTTTACCTTTTCTTTTTAGAATTATCATCATCATCAAGGCCCTGGATCTGTAACTTAGTAACTCGGGAGTTCTTCCAGTGGAATTTCCAGGCATCATTTTCTATTAGCTAGGTTTGTTGGTATCAAAGAAATAAGAATAAAATTAGAGATTTCATGTTTTAATGTGTTAATGAAAATGATAAACAGAATTTACAATAGAAGTGTTCTGTCAGAAGTATCAGAGAGGTCTGTTGGTCTCTTATGTTGAGCCCCAGAGTTAAGAGGTGGCTGGTTCGTGTCGGGGTTATGTCGGTGTGACCAGTGTGGTCTAGGTTCTTTGAGTGGTGGCATGTGGTTTGCAAAGTGCTGCTGGAGCTGAGGGGGTGTCAGTCAACAGGGTGTTCTGCACCATCTATGAGTCTGCAGGAAGAAAATGAAAGTTTAAAAAAGGCAGTCTCTAATCGGCATGCAGAAGGTCAGGGTGTACTTAATACAGCAGAGGCAGTGTGTTAGTCGAAACCGAGGCTTTGATCTTTATTCTTACCAGTGAACATTTTGAGTATGGAATATGTGTTTTGTTGTACTTTTAGTATTCCTACTTCGGAAAAATAAGTTGACCTTCTTTAAATGGTAGAAGGAGATTGCACATTAATGCCTACTGTGGGGAGTCTAGTTGGCAAATCCTGTAGAGTTCTGGCACTCAGCCCTCTTTAATGGAAATTTTTTGTCATGTTGATGTTGAGAAATCTGTCCACTGTGCTGGCAGAGATCTGCGTCCTGTGTTTCCAAATACTGCAGACTCTTAACTAAAAAAGCTTCCAGTCTGCAAGATGTATAAGACATCGTGTCAATTTATCCACTGCATTGCTCTTAGTAGACTGATTTAGATTTATTGCCTAATTGTTTCATCTTCCATTAAGGTAAGGATAAATCATAAAAATTTAACCACTTAATAGGTTGTTGTTGATGAGGAAATACATTCCACAGGAGATCTAAACAACTCCACAGAAATTATAGGCATCTAAGCAATCCCGCACAAATAAAATTGTCTTAAATAATAAGGATATCTTAGAGCAAGACCATAACAACACATTTGTCATGAATGGATAAAGCTAAGTGAATAAGATAGACTTTTGAATACTGTCCAAGGTTTTAGGATTGATAAATTGACCTGATATGGTATATATGAAACAATTTCATGTTCTGCGGATATACTAGTTCACTGGAATGCAGTACATTTCTTCTGAAATCCAGGATTTTTAATTTTACAGGCATGTGTACACAGCAGTTGAATTGTGTAATTCCATGTTTCTCAGCCCCTGGTCTGCTGACTCACACCAGTACCAGGCCATGCTTTAACGTAAACATTATGGATTGGGTTTTCTTGTTGCAATGGACCAGCTTTTTAGCCTAAGCAGTTCTCAAGGGAGAAGAAGAGAGTTCAGGGAGCTAGTTCTTTGTTCCAGACAGTAGTCTAGTTCCTATGTAAGTTGTATAGTTGAATCTTTTAAATTAGAAAAAGAATGAAACTTGGAATCTTTAAAGCAGCTCAGATCTCATCCTTTTTCTACTGCTTTGTTGCCATTTCTTTGAAAATCACGGCAGCACTGTGGCTGCATGTCTTACAATTCACACCGTGGTCAACATCAGAAGCTTAACTGCAGGCACAGGTTCTTCATCAGCCCTCTAATTCTGCACTTTCACTACCGTGTGGTAGCTTGTGTGTTTTCATTCAGAACGTATTCGAGTTTTACATGTACACTGTATACAATTGATCACATTTGTCTTGTGTGACAATCATTGACAGCTTGGAAGTTCTGCTTGGGGTGCCTGCCATTTGTGCTGTACCAGTACTACCCAGGCATCTACATAGCTTAAAGTGGCTCTGAAAAAGCACAAGATGCATGACGCATTTGTACTCATACGTTGTATGAGAAGATTGATATTCCCAAATACTTTTTTGCCATTGTGTTTCTTTACCACTGGGAAATTTAAACACCAAGCTGCAAAAAATGATTTTGCAGTTCTCTCTAGCCTTTATTACAATGTAATATTTTTGATATGCAGTTACAAACTGCTCTCTCAGCTAAAATCGGCCAATCCTTATTTTCAAAGTCATAGGAAGTAACACTGTCAGGAGAGCAATGGCATATGCTACATAAACTATTCCTAGAAAATCCCTCAATAAAACCCTTTGCAAAAGGCTGTAATATATTCTTCATTGTACTCTGTGACATCTTGATCAGTTAATAGCTGCCCGTCAGACACATGACTCTTGATAAATCTGGCATTACGCCATTTTCCTGACTGTGTAGATCTCTTCAGCAGTGTGAAAATGTCATGTTCCCTGTATCCTAAAAACAAAATGTTTGTTAAAATACAAACTAGATGTACGTTGGCAACTGAGGAGTTCATGAATTCTTAACTGAAAGATACCAGTGAATGTTTCAGTATGTCTAAAATGCCCTAGAGAAGCATGAAGGTTTCCTGTGACAGAGGTGCACCATACTCACCAGGGAGCATCAGCATATATTTGTACAGTGACTATCAAAGGTATTCACCTGCCCTTGGACTTTTTCCACATGGAATCATAATGTATTTAACAGGGAGTCTTTGCCATTAATTTTGCAATTAATTGATAGAAATATAATATTGATAATAACTGATTGCATAAGTATTCCCACCTTTTGAGTGAATATTTGGTAGAGACACATGTGGCAGAAATTATAGCCATAAGTTTCTACCAGTTTTGCACGTTTGGACATTTTTAAAAAATTGGACAATTTTTACCTCTTTGCAAAATTGCTCAAACTCCCCCAGGTTGGATTGGAAAGCTGGTAAAGAGCCATTCCCAACTCCTGTCTTGATTGGATTGAGGTCCAGGTTTTGATTGGGCCACTCCAGAATTTTGACTATTCTTTCTAAACTGTGCCAGTGTGGCTGTATGTTTTGGGTTATTGTCCTATTGGAAGGGAATTTTCTCCTTAATCCCATGTCTCTAGCAGACTGCAGTAAGTTTTCTTCCAGGATTTCTTTGTACTTTGCTGTACCCATTTTATCTTCTGTCTTCACAAGTCTTCTAGGCCCTGATTCAGCATGATAGCATGATACTGCCACCACCATGCTTCACAATAGGGATGGTATTTTCAAGATGTTGTTCATTGTTACACTTGCACCAAACATAGTGGTTACCGTTGAGGCCATAGACTCTTCTTAAGCTTGGTTTTAGTCCCCACATGCCTTCTGTCAAAGTATGGTTAAGATGGTTGAGTTTTTTGTCACTCTCCCATGAAGCCCAAATTTGTGAAGCACTCGGGCAATTGTCATATGCAGAGCTTCTTATAGTGGACTTTACTGCGCTCTGAGGGATATGTAATGCCTTGGAAATGTTCTTATGCCCTTTCACTAACTGTTGGTTTTCAATAACCCTATTCTAGTTTTACTTTGAAAGTTCCGTTGTCTTCATGATGTATATGGATATGTCTAAACTCTCTAATTCCTTGCTGTTGTATTATGATTCATCAGACCTAAAAAGAAGTAGTGTGGGGATGGGCATATTTGTGACTGTTCAGGTATTCAGTAGTGTGGGAAAGGTATGTAAAGCATCTTACTCTGAAGTCTTGTTTGCTTTGTCACAGCTTCTCTCTGTACCCTGCGGCTGACAGCTGGGCTGTGGGTGAGTAAGGGGTGTGTTAGTGTTGTCACACACTGGCAGAACAGCATAGGTGTGGAATACTCTTGCAATGTGCATTTATCATACCTGTCAGGAAGAGCTTTCCAAGCCAAACGCCTTCATTTTGTTTTTAGTTCACACTAAAAAAGTGTACTGCGTGTATCCAAGCATTTTTCAGTGCTAAGGAAGTACTTCATAACTGCAGTATATTTATTCCTAAATGATCTTCTCATTATTGTCATATAGTCTTGTTACTACCCAGGGTAGTTGAGAAAAATCCTTTTCAACATCATCAATTTGTTTTTTATCAGTTATTGATTTGAAATTGTGTTTGAGGAATAGTGGTAATCCATAGCTCGTTTCTAAACACTGATTTTCAGCACTTTTTCTTAGCACTTTTACCTATTTTATTCCAATAAATGAACCATTTAGTTTTGGGAAGTAAGAGGAGAATGCGTGTTGCATCTTTCCTTCGTGGAAAGTGACAAGCAGGCTTTGAAAGGTGTTGATATGTGCTAGAATGAATGTGGTTGATTTGTTGATATTTTAAGATTTTCATTAACTTTCTCACATTTGTATGACTGAAAGTATGTCCATTTCATTTAGACATGTTTGGATATTTTTCTTATAAATACTTTATACACATTAATACTTTGTGCTAAAACCTCCTTGACCATGAAATATGAGAAACTCAAAGGCAGTTTTGGTTTTCCACTCAGCCTAAATACACTGAACTTGTTTTCATTGGTACTGGTACTAGCCTCCCTGCCAAACTGCTTCCTTTGTTTCAGCTCATCTGCAATTTTTAACCGACTCAGCCCTTAGAGGTTTTTATTCTGTCCAATACAGTAGAACTTAATTTTTGCAGGTTTTAGCTTGGCTAAAGCTCTCTTTCCTCTGTAACATGTAGCAAATAAGTGCTTGGATGGATTTCAGCCTGTTACTTATTGCACACCTCTTGTTACATGAGTGTTACACTGCTTGTTTTTGGTATTTTACATCAGGCTGGGATACTTTGGCTGCCCAATACATCAAAATGTTATTCAAGACCTTAAACTAATTGACATTTTAACATTGGTGTGCAGCAATTGGTGTTTATCCTCATTTCTGTGATTATGCATACTGTTTGCAGCTGAGAGATTAATGAAATTTAAACAGATTTAAATAAACCCCATGCAATCTAAATGCCTCATGCACTGATGCAATGCATTGATCACTTACGGACAAATGCAGTCTGCAGAGGTTCACAGCAAGGTCGCCAATTAAAACTGACATTGCCCGTCAGTGTAGTAATTCTAGCACTGTGTACATTCATTTTACTTTGCCCACTCAGGCTTAAAATACCCTCTAATACCTTGGAGAGGCTGAACTAAGGATATTATCACATGACTGTATTACCTTTGAAACTGAAGCACTAAGGAGGCCCTGAAAGCCTGACGGAATTCAAGCAATATTGCAGAAAGTGCATGCAAAGTAGGGCATTGCACACGGGTCAGAAATCAAAGTATTTGCAAAACCAATTTCACAACTTGAATGCCAGTTATTTTACAGGCTAGACAAGGTGAATGCACACCTCCCTATCATGTAACACTGTTCAGATGATTACAAGATAGTGGGCAACCATAGAAAGCAGTTGCATTTAGTCAATAACTTGTTTTCTAACATATGTGTAATGTGTTCCCAAATTCAAATGTTTGAGACATTCTTCACTGTTGCATTACCTAGTAGTAATATTTAATCATGAGAATTCTTCAGGTACACAGAGATTACTGGTTTTAGCCTAGATGATACCATGACCTTAGAATGTCAGTGGACGCCAAAAGTCTGAAAAGATTAATAAACTGCCACAGGATTAGCTGGAAACTAGGTTAATGTTGTTGATCAGTTTTAAACATACAAGGAATTCAATCAGTTAAGGATTTCTGTTGTAAAAATGAAAAGTAACTGCAGTCATCTTTCAAGTTATGTTTTTAAACATCTTTCAATCCTAGGCATGTTGATTGGTGTTTAACTGCCCTTTTTGTGTTATTTTTCTAGCCTTTTTTCTAGGCTCGAGGGAAATGTCCTTCCTGGATTAATTCTTGTTTAATTTTTCCAGGTTCGTTGGATGATGTACTGGATTGTTTTTGCCCTCTTCACAGTAGCAGAAACAATCACAGATCTCACAATATCTTGGTAAGATCATTGATATAATTGAAAGTCGGATTGAATCATTGTTTATTCGCTCACTATAAAATCTGCACTAGACTGCATTTACAATTTTTGTAGTTCACTAAATCAGACGCTAGGCTTGCAATTTTATTGTTGCCTTCAGGAAGGATAAGGGAATGAATTTGTTTTACAGAAATTAGGGTCAGTTTAAAAGTTTGTGTGAACTGAAGTCAAACGAAAAAAAATATTGCAGTTCTTGAAGAAATTTTAAATATTTAAGTACTTTTTTTCTCTCATGAAGGTTTCCTCTCTATTATGAAATAAAGATTGCATTTGTGATTTGGCTGTTGTCTCCATACACCAGAGGAGCCAGCCTTCTCTACAGGAAATTCCTGCACCCTCTTCTGACATCTAGGGAAAGGGTAAGATAACAATCTTGTGTCCTCATTTCCTCTTTGTGCAAGTCTCCATTATTCAGACATCAATTGTGTAGACTACCTGTTTATCACAAAAATGTGCTCTTTTAAAAGTTTTAAATCAAATTCTGCAAAGTGTTTTTTTTCCTTACAGTGCTATGTTAAGGCCTCCAGTCCAACAGCTGGCAGAGAAATCATGATAATTTCCACCCAAATTCTTTAATCATATACGAATGAGCCCCTTCTGCACCTGTTCAAGATTTTCAATATTCTTAAGTTAATAAATAAAATATCAGCCAGATAAAGCTCTTTAATGACTGAAAACAAAGGTTTCCTTGTTTTACTTTTTTATATTGAACAGGACGGGCTGTAGGATTTATACACTAGGTGTCATTAATGATTACAATACAATGGCCTTGAAAAACCAGAGTCATCTTATTGGATTTAACATGTCAAATATGTCCCCTATTCTTAAATATTTTTTATTTCGTATTCCTTTTTAATTCATTAGCCTTGCAGATACATCTTAAATTATGTTGGGATTAAATTCTCCTATTCTGTTTTAGTTGAAACTCTAGACACAATGAAATATGGATCTGCGAATCCTGTTACAAAGTACATAGTTATAATGCACGATTTTTTACTTCTGTCCATTTAGACTCTTGTCTTTAAGTGAAACCAACATATTGCTTTGCTTTCAGGTGCCACGGTGTGTAAACCAGGATTTAAATATGCAGTGTACAGTGAGAATGTATCAGTTTTATGATTTTACTGCAAGACTCTTGCATCAGTTTAATGTGTCAGTGGTAAACATTTTTAAACTGGACTACTAATAATGCCATTAAGAATAAAGGCAAGCGCATACTCACAAAGAACCTGTCAATTATATCTTCTTTCTAACAGGAAATTGATGAATACATAGTTCAAGCCAAAGAACGGAGCTATGAGACCATGGTAAACTTTGGCAGGCAAGGCTTAAGCATAGCTGCAACTGCAGCTGTCACTGCAGCTGTCAAGGCAAGTACAATGCTACTTTCATTTTGTGTGCACAGTAAGATTAAAAATGCAGATGATATAAATAAAGCTACTGCGTTCCTAGAGTCCTTTACACGAAGAGAACAAACCTTATCCCAACAGGTTTTCTTGAAAGTTTTTACTGTCACAATAGAATTGATAATGTTCTTGGGTGCTGTTTAATAAATGTTTAGGATGAGTACTGTTAAGTGGTCTTTGACAGTAAGGGGCTAGGAGAATATTTCATTGTTTGCTCAAATAGGTCACACATGATCTCTTCGTTGTAGGCGTTTTCAGTTCTAAACTTGTTCTTTCACAATGTTCTAAATTAAGCAGGATGTCTAGAGTTCAGTGTGATCTTTCAGAACACTCAACAAATAACAAGGGTCATCACTACCCAAATAGTCTTTTAGGAGGAGTAAGTTGACTTGCAAAATGATTATCAGATACAGCTTTTAAGAAAGCCATATCTTAGAATAGCTTCACAGATTGTTCAGCTGTTCTTTGTCTTCTTCCTTTCTGTGTCCTAACCCTGGTGTTACTCTCTTTTTTGCCTTTACTGACACACTATCCTATAGGAATACTGCACTTCTTTCGTCTGTTCTCTTCACACAAGTTGAGGTAATAACAAAGGAAATGCAGCATGGAGGCAATTCTAATGTTATAGTTTGGATTTGTCCCTCTCCCTGAGGACTTTGGACAGTTTCCTTATTGTAACCTGGCTGTTTTTACTACTGTCAACCTGAACCTTTACCCCTGCCCTTGCAAAGTGCTGTGACTTTGTGGTAGACAGTCATTTTATCTATAGATTGATTGTCAATCTGATTATTAATAGGCTCAACGTTCTAAAAAATGTTCTGAACATTCTCCTCTTTAATACTTGTGTTTTACACATAAAATAAATGGAAATTTTCTTCTTTTTAGTTTTTTTTGAAATGTTGCATGTTTTTTTATTAACTGCCTCAAAAGATATTTCAGTCCATGATTAACTGAAGCAGCTCAGTTGAGAAGCTATTTGGCTTCTCGGTCTTTGGGGAGACTGGAGTTTACCAGCCTGAAGTCTGGAGTTGGATGACTAAGTGTTTTTCCTCCTGCAGGGCCAAGGCGCTATTACTGAGCGGCTGAGAAGCTTCAGTATGCAAGATCTAACACAGATCCCGGGTGACGAGCCACTGCAGCGGCCATATCCAGGCAAAAAAGCCAAAAACCCCAGCCCTGAGCCGTCTGGTATGTCCCGCATCTCTTCTGAATTAACGTGGATTAGTATTTGCCATTGCCACAGACTGTTTTCACTTAAATTCCTAGACAATTATTTTAAAGAGACATGGATGCACTCTCACCATTGTCTTTGAGCAGCCTGTTTATGCCTGATGGGACATGGAGTCAGAGTTAGTCTATTTTCTTTTTTCTTTTACAAATCGTCTACTGACTGCTAGTCTTCAAAAACCTTGTCTTTCCTGAAAGGTTGGTACTGATCACGTGTAGAAAGAAAAGAAAGTCTGTCTTGCACCATAAGCAATCATTTAGTGTTGCTGAGCCTTATGTAAACTGATGTAGAATTATATTTTCAGCTGTATTACTTGATGGGTCTTTATTACCCAGATATGTAGATCATAACATTGAAGTATGTTACATTTGTTTTGTTTATACAATATCAATTCAAAACATTAAACTCTTTGGGGATATGTGAAAACCTTGGCTTGTTGCTTCATTGTGACTAGAATACGTAATGTCTGTTAGTGTATGCTGATATGCAGTTTGAAAGTCCACTAGCATTCAATGTTGAATACTTGTACAAGTATGAATGTGTGGAGTGGTAGAACATTTTTTATATATACAGTAATTAATTTGTCTGCACATTTTGTGTTCAAGCACCCTTCAGTGATCAGAGCACAGCATTTCTAAGATTTTTCTTGTCTGTTGGCTTATTACCTACTTTGTGAAATGTAGATCCAATCCTGTTTTAATTTTAAATCTTTTTCATTTGCTTTGCAAAGTCTGTTTTTTTTTTCCATTTTATGGATCTATCCTGTTAGGGCACAGAAGTTGGAGTCAGTAAGAGATCATGCTGTGTTTGGTGTTGTAATAAGTATTTGCCTTCTTGTTCCTGAAGTGAATTACAATAACCATCAGCCAAACTGGTAGAGGCTGTTATAGAATCATTCAGCCAACACCACTGTCATTTAAACTGTAGATTTGTTATTAAACTATATGTGAATAACAAAATCAAAGGAAGTTTGTACAGAATTGGATTGTTCATGTTTTGTATCTAACTTCTTAGTTTGTCAAAATATAAATGGAACTTTAGGTTCAAGTTAAATGAGATATAAAATAGTGTCTTGTAAAGTACTGCTGGATTTTTGCTTTTTTGTATGATTTTATAAGCCTGTTTCCTTTAACCCAAACACTACTTGATTTCCTTCTTGGTCTGACTGAAGACTAAAGAGTGCTTCTGCATATAAAGTAACTTTTATTAACCCTGGAACTAAAGCTCCCCAGAATCAAGTGATTTAGTCACTGGGATCTTTAAGGGGGGGACTCGCATTTTGTGAATATATTTAATTTTCACTTTTTAGAATCAAATTAAGTGCATTGTTCTGTATGTATCCTGTGGAATTGCTGTAATGAGAAACGGAGCATGCATGTATAAAATAGTTTGTTGATCTCTGGTGCCCTCTACAGGGGATTGTAGGAATGTAGTTACACTTGGCTCTTGATCAGCTTATTGAACTGTCCACAATCGGTTTAATCCCCAATTGCTTGTTAAAAGATGTGATGGTGGAAACTTAAGGTTTTTTTATCCTTGTATTGTGGGCAGAGCCTGCTTCCTCAGGGGGGTGAATGCCGTATGCACTATAGCCCTGAATGCTTCAGTGCCAGAGCAGACAGGACCTCACAGTGCATGGGGGGTGGGGGCTCTATTTGCAGTTTAATCAAGCCCCACCTGTGGCAGGAGTGTGCATTGATGGCTTTGTCTCATGACAGTGCTGTATAAAGAGTTTACCTATTTAGCACGCTGCAGAACTGAGAGCCACATTATGTAAGGGTATTCAGTATTTTCTTTTTAAATATGAATTCAAAACAAACTGTCCTTGAGCAGCTTCTTACGTTTTCTTAAGCCGGCATCCCACTACGTGACACGACATCTAGTCGGAGAGTATGCCAAATTAAGCGACTGCAGTTGCTGAATCTCGCTGCCTTTTCTGTCCTAGAGGGTGTCAAATTATGTGACTAGGAATCGCAGGGGGTGATAATTACACGATTCCCTCGTGACTTTTCATCGCGGTCCCCAATCTTATTGCGCTGTGAAAGTACTGCGAGGTCACCACATTTTGGCAGCCAATCAATGTGGAGCACACCGGAATAAGAGGAGGAGAACCGCACAAAAGTAAACATGGGAACGAGCATGTAAACATCTTGAAAAATGTAGCACAGGCATTGTTTTCCACAAATAAACATCTTCAAAAATATAATTCTTCTTTATAAATATAGAACAAATTTACCGAAATAAGAGTAAAAAAAATATAAAACACCTCTAAAACAAGTTAGTATTGCGCTATAACATGTAATATAATGAGCATATTGTCTCGCAAGCACAAATCTGTTTGATTTTATCATAGTCGCAGGGGCTGTTAAGAGCGCTATGACTGAGTCGCCGGGTGGTAACGGGCGTGCCATGACTCTCTACAACTCACTGTGGTTTTCTTACAATTGCGTAAATGAAGGCTATGCCTGAAAATCCTAGGAAAAGCTGTGTAGTGTGACGCCAGCATTACATGTACTGGGCGTTGTTCCCTTTCCTGTAAAAGTCCTTTGTGTTGAAGTGCTAAAATCATATAGTGGTCAGATGAGATCAATCAGCTTGTCACCTGAGCACATGGGAATTTGGCTAAGCAAGTAAGTTGTACACAAAATGTTTTAAAAAAAAAAAGCATAATTGTGACTTTCCCGCAGATTATCCCTATCAGTACAAGCAGGATGACGCAGAAGACAGGAGTGACGAGGAAGCTGAAGCCACTTTTTCAGAGGATGAGGCTTTAGCCCAGCGGGGACTGAGAAGATCTCAGAGCGTAAAGTTATCAAGATCAAGGTTACGAAAAGAGGTATGTGTGATAGAGGTAGTAGACGGATTATTTAAGAATAGTTGATTTGTGCTTTTTTTTTGTAAATGTGAAAAGGTATTGACTGCCAAGTAATCGGCATTTTGTTCTGCAGACATTCTATATTCCACTGAGAATTTTAAAACTGAAGTTGCATTCCTTCTGTTCATCCTGTGCTGTCTGGCAGGAGATTAAAGTTCAGTGTTTTGAGCCTAATATGAGATGAGCAATTTTCCAGCGGATTAAAATAAATATTTATCAGACTTTTCAGAAAAAAAAATGAATCCCACAGTTTAAAAGGGAATACCTTGTGTAAATCCTATATCATTTTTTTCTCTACAGAATCGTTATGGATCCCTGAAGATTAAAGGAAAACGAAGAACTGCATTGAGTTCTGTGAACTATGAGCCGTAAACTTCCCTCAAGTTTCGGGACCTGACTACTGATTTAAATGTATACTTCTGTGGAGAAGATTTGTTTGTAAATATTTTTTTGAAATGGTGAAGGGTCCTAGTTATTGAAAGCTGACATGATGCTCAGTTTGAAATGCAACACCAATAAATGTCATATTTTTAAAAGAGAATACTAACTGTAACATACCAAATCATGGTATTTTTATACTATTAGGGCACAATGCGAGCATTTCTATTTGAAGCAAGACGTTTACAGATTTGTGTTATATGTGTGTCTGTGTAGCACAATTGCTTTATTGATGTAAGACTGCCTGGTTTTTCAGTATTTATATTTTAAACTATTTTACATATCTTGTTTGGGTCTTTGAACAAGTAGTTTTATTAAAACTTTGTGTAGTGCCTTACAAATTTTTCAGCTCTATATATTTACCATTTATAACTTGCTTTAATCACTGTTGTGATACCTCTAAAAGCAACAGCAGACCACAAAGTAATATTTGTTTGTTATGGGACAATTAATAGTTGAATGAGAACTATTTGATCTTTAGATTTTGTACATTTTCAAAGTTGTGTGGAACACAATTTGTCCTGGGGGAAGCTGGACTGTCCGCTTTTGGTGGTCGTGTCTTTTAACATTTTCACTTGCTTTAGTTTTAAGGGTGTAGAATTGAGTTTTGATCAAGTCTTGCTCACCTTCTTTAGAATGCTGTATCTTAAAATGATGGTAATCTCAGTGGGAAATAAGTATTTCTCCTAGGAGAGAATCATGATAGAAACATCATTTTAACCAAAGCTTGTTTGACAAAGAAACGGTTTATATTACAAATGCAATAGCTTTAATCTGGGGCGATGACTAAAACTGTACAAATAAACTTGGAGAGTTCAGATTTTGTCTGTAGCTCTTTTGTGGGTAAAGTTTTGTTCTTTAAGTGGCTTTGTTTCTTGTATAATGTTATCCATTTTCCTCCACAAATGGAAACCCTCAATAGATTTACTATCACAGGTATGCATGTTTAAAAGCATAAAGAGAATTAAAGGCAGTTGAAAAGTAGAGAACAGGTCTTCAATGCTGTGTAGAAGCCTGAAGTGCATTTGGTATCTCTTTTCATCTAACTGTCTTATTGATTTGAGAAAGGTTAGTTTGTTTTAAACCTAGAAACCATCTCCATTATTAATTCGGACTCAACTTTAGCTGGAGCGAGAAATGTTGAATGCCTTAAATATTTAGGTATGTTAGGGTACTCTAGGCGTGCTGAAGTGAATACCATTAATGGCAGTATAGTCTGCAGTGAGTTATAGTAGTTGGACTTCTGAAAGAAAGTTACATTTACTTCTGGTTGAAATATCGGGAAAGAAAGGCACTGGGCTCCAACGATGATAAGATGTTGCCTGTGTGCTTCTGGTCATGAAAGAGCAGTAGATGGTTCCCCACATGTCTGAGTTAGAAAATTCTTTCAACGTGGTTTGATCTCACTGTCATGAATAAAACATTGTGGGAATTCTCATGCTGTTTTGCACATCGATACCCGTCTACATTGATAAATAGTGCCTGTTTTGTGTAGTTTATTAGGATTGATGGAACGGTTTGCTCTGTGATGCCTTCTATTAAATGCAACAACTCAGGCTTCAATGATGACTAACTGAAAATACAAATTCTAAGATAGGATGAAGGTCTAGGTTGAAAGAGGTACAGAGTATTATTCCTACATTTGTGAAATCTGCAGATTAGATTGTTTCAAATTAACTGAATCTTCAGTTGAAATTATGCAGTATTCTCATGCTGTGGACAGTGGTTGCAATTTAGTATAAATATAATGTGCGAGATACGATTACACCTGTCACAGTTTCTAAAGTAATCCCAGACTTCCTTTTCAGATAATAGGCTTTAATAAAGGGACAAGAGTGGTGCTATTTGTGTAACAGGGTTAATCAGATTTCAAAACATCTTTCATCTTCAATCGTCAGTTTCATTGATGATTGCTATTAGTAGTAATGGCCACAGTGACCTAACCTGACTATGCATAGTACACAGTAGTAATTTCACCATGTTCCTTGGTCTGACATTGTAGAGCTCCTTTTCAAAGCTGCCCTAAATAGATAGAGATTAGGAAACGTTCACAACTAATTGGAATTAGTGGCGATAATCAAGCGCACCTACAGTATGTATATGAGATTTTTCAAATACAAAAAACAGATATAATTAGTTTCTCCTACTGATTACAGACGCATTACATGTAATATTAGCATTTTCTGCTTATTAATTAGTTTGGTGTGTGGTTATTGGAGGGGATAGTAGCAAAGTGGCAAACAGGATAATTGTTTGGTGATGAGTGCATTAAAGTATAGTATTGGTGTCTGCTAAGTAAAATGCAGTCCTTAAGTATAAATTAGTTCTTATGTACAAGGAAAAGCAGTAATGGATCCAAGCAGAGCATTTGATGTGATGTATTTTAATTTTTGGAAAGCTTTTAATGTGCTTCCTCATAAACGTTTAATTCTTAAATTACAGGTGGACGATATTCAAGATAATGTGTTTGGACTGAAACATTTTTAGTTGCTTAATGGTTAGGAATGGATAGGGCACCGATATTTGCTCCTGGCGCTGGAGGTTTGCAATATCTTTTGGTTTTCCTTCCACTTCAGTCTCTGAATGGCTTGATTTGAGTCTTACACTACCATCTCAAAATTGTACAGTTTTACACTGTTTCCAGGTTTTAATGTTTGGGGTTTGGGGATTAGAAACTACCTGTATATCAAGGGGGACTGCAGTCCTTCAAGAACCAGGAATGAAAATAACAGGTAAGCTTAAAATCAGGTGATAATAGTAGAGTACCACAGGGACCTCTATAGAGACGACTGCTCCTCCTAATTTCTATGATGGAGGTTCTGTAATGGTTATGAAGGCAAGTTTGCAGATGGGATCAACTGAAGAGGATTATAATAAATGTAGAAACTACACAGGAAAAGCAATATTGAGGAAAATGTTTATTTTAAAAGTAGAATTTGAATCAAGGTTTGTCAATGTAAAATTACAATACATTAATGTAATGCAAAGACCTCAGAATATTGTGTACAATTGTCACAATGTTTATAAAATGGTTTATAAAAAACAGCTCTGACATCAGTCCAGTAAAGAGTGACCAGATACAGTCCTGGGATTAAGGGAATGTTCTCCGCTGGTTAAAAGTGCTGAAATATTCTAGTCTTGAACAGAGAAGGCCACAAAGCACATTATTCAGATATGCATAATTCTCAAAGGCAAAAGTCAGCCCAGTGAAGTGTTGAAGAATTAACAGTGAAACGCCAACCAGACCACACATGTTGTGCATCTAAAACTGCACACGGAAAGCACTTCTTGCAGAGTTGTAGGAGTCTTGAACAACTTGCCCAGCAATGTTGTCGCAGCTGCCACCTTCTTCTGTTAAATGATTGGAAGTGATCCAGACACCTATTAGCTACAACAACCACATGAGTAAGACTGGCCGAATGGCTTCCTCTTGTTTTTAACATTCCTTATTTTCTTAAATGTGCATGGAGACGTATTCTAATATACCTCACAATTAATACATCTAAGAATAGAAATCATGGTTGATGTTCTTAGTTACAGAATTCTGTACAAAAATATTTCCCTTTATTGTGGATTTTCGCATAGCCTGGATGGTTCTGTGTAAATCTCGCAGGAAACGGGAGGATGGGGACATAGCAACAGAGAATCAGCCTTGTATCTTAGCAACAAGAATATGTAGCTATATGCCAGGAAGTCTGAAAAGCATCTTTGTCACTCATTGGTAATTATAGTCCTGAAGCGCGTGCTTAGTATGAATTTGCCAAGATAGCTGTTTTTTTTTCTTTGTATTTAGATTGATTTTTGAACGAGTACGATCACCACGCGATTGCTGAGGTGTTTTGAAAAACTCGTGCCTAACTCGTGAGCTGAAGATACACCCATTGTCTTCGGCAGCGACTGCACATCGATGGCGGAGTGACCGCGCTTTGAATATTTTGTTTTACATTTCCAAAGGTGTCATATTGAAGGATTTGACAAAAGGCAGTTTAAAAAAAATCAGAAATCTCTTAAACAATCTTAGTGGCATAGTTTTCTCAATTGTTGAACGCATATACACCTAGAACTATGTAGGAAGTATTTTCATCCATGGATGCTGCACATTGGTGGTGGTGGTGGAGTGGAGTCCCCATTACCTGTAAAGTGCTTTGAGTGGAGTGTCTGAAAAAGCGCTACATAATTGTAAGCAATTATTATTTTAATTCTCAATACAAAACGAGAAAAGAGGTTAGGGTGTGGTCTTCCCTGTACTTATATCTTCAAAGCTTGAGTTCATGTTCATTTCGGGCACAGTATTACAATACAAGCTACGAGGAGAGTAGCTTGCCCAGGTGTTTTATTTCGACGTTATAGCTGCTGTCCACGCTAGAGGGCAGAGCGTCTTCATTCATATTTATTAAGGCTGTTGGCGGTGCCAACCAATCCAGTTACGCCGAATCTTTGACGTCATAAGATTCCACGTCCGCTTAATGTGTCAGAGGGGTATGGCGGATGTTGTGTTGGTACTTTTTTAAATTGCTGTAATGTTATTTTCTGGTGCTGTATTACTCTGGAATGGATTTAGAAGAAGCCTTTCATGTAGTGGGAGAATTCGGGAAGTACCAGAAACGGCTCGCCGCTCTCTTAATTTTGCTGCAGGTTATGTATCTCTTTATATTTTACTTAGCAATGTGATAGTTTCACTACGGAGTGGACAGATGCTGTCCTCAAAAGTTAGCAAAGAACGAATAGGCTAATGCATTGTTTGCTTTGCCTGGCGTGTTCTAGTACCGCGCAATAAGTACTCCAGTGTGATCTAATACCTTGCGTTTCTGAGAGTGTGGATGCATCGTAAAAATAGGACACAAACACTTAACTTTAATGTGTGGATAGAATTTGTCTGGGCATACTCATTTTAGTAAAATCGAGAATGCCTTGTTCATTTTATGCATATAAATTATCACGCGATGTAACATAAAATATGTTTAGCTTGCATTTTACTGCAGTGTTTTCAGTTTAGAATTAATGCGTCCCGTAGTAGCGTCAGATTTTTTGTTCGTCTGTACTTCAGCAGCTCCTCTGATAATTCGTTGTTCCGACTGTTACAGGTTTATATGGCCTGTCAGTCGATGCTGATCGTGCTAGTGGGGGCAACCCCGGACTACCGAATAGAAAAGGGGAAGGATCCCACCACTCAGCAGGACCTCGTCAAACACGTCATTTTCACCGAGGATCTCGATTCCATCGTCACCGAGGCGAGTTGGCAACTTGACCAAACAGATAGGTCATTCCTATTGACCATCAACTTATTACTCAGTACTTAGAGAACTAACTGCCCGTTGCCCGTGAGCTTTTAAATGACACGACCACGCCGCTTGTAGACCTGGTCTTAACAATGATGCATCATTGGAGTGCTCGGAGAGGTACTATGGCAGCTATAATTCTGTCTTTATTTTTCTGCCGTAATGTCTCACGTTCAGACTTCCTCTTTGGACTGTACTGCCTGATGTGTTTCGCAACCAAATCTTGTGTTGTTTTAGAATTGAGAAAGAAAAAGAGAGTGAACCCTATAGTTAGGACAGAAAATGCTGCATTTCCCAGCTTCTTTCTGTTGTCATAGGTCAAAGGATAAGCAAGTGTTTTGTGTTTAATGTTTTCCTCTGACAGAAAGTTTGAATCAACCATATTTACTTCATGTTGTCTTACAGTGGTTTTTGATTAGACATCATGCTTACAAGGTGAGCTTGGCAGGTTCTCTGTTTTTCGCTGGCGTCCTCGTTGGGAATGTACTGTTTGGACCACTTTCAGACAAGGTTGGGAGGAAACCAGTTTTTCTTGCAGGTAAAGTATTGTTTTTATCAGTGCATCGCAAAAGCACATGAATGCCTTGACAATGAATAAACTCGCTGTCTGACTGCATGTTCAACCTGAATTACCTGACTGTGGCATCGCTAATCCCGACTGCTGTGTTTGCATGTGTGAGTAATGAGTGTAATTCCCATTGCTCACACAATGGGGGGGGGGGGATATATAGTAAATGTGAATAAAACTTGGAACTTTGAACTATTTCAGATGTTTTGGGCTGGAGGTCTTTGTTACAATTGTAAAGAGGAAGCAGTTATTTATGTTGGATTTCCTTCATGCTTTTATCAATTAAAGTTTGGAATCTAAAGCTTTTTCCTATGGTGTGACTACTCATTTGGAAATGGGCGACTATGTATCATTGTAACGTGTGTGGCGGCAGCCCCCTGCGCTGAAAGGGACAAGCGGGCCTGCTCTCCTGCGGTTTAGAGTCGGCCAGCCAGAGCCCCTGGTCTCTCTGACAGGCTGGCAGCTCCATTGCGCCGTACAGGAGAGTTCACAGTGATTGGAGGAGTGGCGCGGCCCTCGTTGACATCGTCTCGGATGGCCAGCAGCTCACAAGAGCTGCTCTGGCATCGAAAAGCCCATTAAACTCTGGCCAGTAAAATTCCCAGCCATCCTGGATGACCGGACCTGAGCTTGAAACAGCGATGTTGTGAGGGTGCTGGGGAGCAAGTGCCTCAGTGCTCAGCTACTCAGGAGATGGATGTTTGTTTGTTTTTAACTCCGTCTGTAACCTCTCAAAACTGGATCTGAGGCATAAAATGTTCACTGTCTGCTGCAGATGTATTAATAAGACCCCACAGCTCTAAACATCTGAAATAGGTGAAACAGTTGTGCAGATGGCCTGTGTTGTGTCTGAATATGTGCATGTAGTATACTGTATATGCTACATCAGTATCATACACTGTATTATAATACATGAACATGATGCCCAAAGCGAGGAGTTTCTTCTGCCAAGAGTGGGGAATCACATACGTAGCTGAGCAGTGTATTAGGAGAGAATTTAACATGTCAAATAGACATTCTAGGTGTGGATTTAATTCCTTCCAACACAACGTAGACTTCCTGTTTTACCAAATCATTTCCTTGTTGGCTGCATTTGTTTCATGAATGTGCTTCATTGGGAACTCCTACTGCAGGATTAATTGTGAGTAAATTAGCCGCAGCTGCTACACAGTACTGGGCTGTCATAATTGCTGGATTACTTTGCTGTCTTGTGCAGGTTTGCTGTTTGAGGTGCTATTTGGATATGCAACAGCATTTGCACCCACTTATGAAGTGTTTGCCGTGTCCCGTCTCTTGGTGGGAATAATGAATGGGGGCATGGCTCTGGTGTCTTTCGTGCTTACCCAGGAGTATGTGGGCAAATCGTACTGGGCAATGACAGGTAACACTGCTAACTGAGCATAGGCAACCTTTACTTCCTGAATGGTTAAAAGGTAGCAAAGGTACTTTACAGAATTACCCTGCTGCCTTCCCAAGATAAACTAGCAGATGTATACGGTATGTAGACCATGGGCCACCTTCGAGAGAAAATGATTCTGTCTGCTCAAGGCGCGACTCAGTGTCAGAGTTACAGTTTGTAAAGTATAGTCTAAGCAAGCTGCAAGCACGGTATAATTGAAAATATCTCCCATCTGTGAGATTCTCTTTCCTCACAGATCACAGAATCTGTGCGCAGTTACAATCACCCGTATTTGTGTTTCTGTAAAGGACTTGCTCTTTGCAATCGGGTTTCATTTTAGAGAATAAATCCTAAACAGAACTTTGGAAAATCTGTCAAAAGTAGTGTTATTTGATCCAGAATATCCATAGTTTCGTTGTTGTGTTCAATACTTCAAATGAAGTGTGTTTCAGGCCCTTCTCTTGTGTGTTTCCAGGAACCTTGACCAACATGATGTTTGCAGTGGGAATAGCTCTGTTTGCTGCCCTAGGGTACTATGTCCAATCCTGGCGTGCCCTGGCGACAACGGCCAACTCCCCTGGTGTGCTTTTCTTTCTCCTGTGTTTGTAAGTGACTGGAAGATCTATAGGAGTATTATTACATCTCTTTTCCCCCAGGTCCTGTCTTAAATCTGTCATGCACTTGTGCTAGGATTTTAGAGTCTGATGTGTAACCCCTTTAAAGCATGTTAAATTTAAGAAGCATTTTGTTATAGAATTAAAATATAGCTCTGTGGCAAGGTGTTCTAAAATGAAAATATGAAACAACAGGGGAACCTTGCTGTAATTCAGAAAACGTCCAGTTTAAAAAAAGATCTATTAGATTTGGCATGCACCTAAATGAAATTCTAGCACAGCCGGAGGAGGTTGAAATTAAGACCGCAGTGCCCTGCTCTCCATCCTACAGAACCCTCCCTGAGTCTCCACGCTGGCTGTACTCTCAGGGCCTCACGCAGAAGGCAGAGGACGTGATGCAGCACATTGCCATGAGAAATGGAAAGGAGAAGGTGGTGGTGAAACTGAAGCTGTGCGCGGGCTCGGCCAAGGCGGGGCGTCCCAGCAGTGGTGTCCTGGAGCTGGTCAGACACCCTACCCTTCGCTGGAGGACAGGCATCCTCATGTATGTGTGGTGAGTGACAGAGAAAGTGAGAGATTGTTCTCGGGTCCTATTAAGCAGACGTAGAAAGTCCCGGAGTATTACAACATTGACCACGGTTTTGTAAGGCCAAGTCGCACGGAAACAAATTGAAAGAAAAATGTAAGTATTCGCTGTCATTTAACCCTGTTTTATTTTTGAAGGTACGCCTGCAGTTTGGTCTATTATGGATTAACATTGAACGCTGGCGAACAGAAAGGAAATCGGTATGCCAATGTAGCAATGTATGGACTGGTGGAGCTGCCGGCTTACCCACTCTGCATGTATTTCATTAACAAACAGTGGTATGTTTTCTTTCTCTAATTGAAAGCGCACTATCCATGGATTTGATAGCTGGGAAGAGTCCCGTTGCTTCATTAACTGAGAGATGCAAGAAGATTTCTTTTAAGATTTAAGATTTTTTTTTTATACTAGTTGTTTCCTGGTTATTGATGGTATTTTAGCTATGCTTTACAACAGGTAGTGTTTTTCCCCTCTGTTGTCTTGCTAGAAACACACTGTTATGTCCCCGATATGGCTCAGTCTAGGGGGCAAATGGGGACTAACATATGAGCCAGGGATTAAACAGATGGAAATACACAAAAAAAACACTACACTTTCCTACAACTCAATACCCTCTAAACCTGAGAAAAGGGGGTTGCAAAGCCAAAGAAAAGTCCTCTGCAAGCTAACTAATTACACTAAACTAAGCTGTAATGGAAAACAAAAAAAGCTCAAGAGCCACAACAATCCCAATCCCCACCGCAGCCCAATAAACAAACCCGACATACCTCACGTTTACCAAAAAATACAAACCAACATCAGTCTCACAAACATTCGCTGTAGTTTATTCCACACCTCTCTTCTACCTCTCACCTCCTTGGACATCCTGTACCAGCATTTTACAACCGGACCGCTCTCTTCAACCAATTCACAGCGAGAGCCAATTTAGGGACACACCCACCTCCAAAAATGGACCCCCTCACGGGAGGGGAGTGAAAAGAAATACCAGAAGTAACACACACACAACTCTGAATAACTATTTCAGATGTGCAACACCAGATTGGACAGGTAGGATAATTGCTGTGCCCTGTGCAAATGTGATTTGCCTCATCACATTGTTAGTGTGAAGCATAACATTTGTGACAGAAGTGTATGCTTTTCTCATTTTAAGGGCAGGAAGACGGAAAACGACAGCAGCCTTCCTGATGTTTGCGGGATTTTCCTGCATGGTTACCATGTTTTTACCAAATCATTTAGGTAAGTGTCATTAGGGTTGAAAGGTGACTCAAAGTAAAAAAGTTAAAATGCAATTCTTACATGTGTTAACTTATGATCTTTGGCTTTTTTCAGATTTGTGGCTTAATACGACTTCACTAGCTTTGCTGGGCAAGTTAATGGTCAGTGCAGCCTTTAATATTGTGTATATATACACTTCAGAACTCTACCCCACTGTGATAAGGTAAATTGCAACAATGTTTTATATCTTGAGCAAATCCCTGAAGCGCTTTTGAAAACTTTATTTCTGTGTAGCAAATGTTTTTTCCCCTTTCCTTTTAGCCAAGGGAAGTAACAATTTGATTTCAATATAGTTTTGTTATCATAATCAATACATTAATATTAATGCAGTATTTTCTCATGATGCCACTAAAATACATTTTAAAAAGTTGGGAAAAATTGTAGTAGAGGATGTGTAACAAAAGTCTCAAACCACATGTTTTATACTAAAGTTTGTGCTGTACACTATTTTTCAAATAGTCCCAATTGTATCCTGGTTAATTTTTCTTTTATTGCTTTTGGCTCAGTACAGAGCTGCAGGTTTTCAAAACTGCTGATTTTCTGTCTTCATAGGAATGCTGGGCTGGGTGTCTGCTCAATGTCTTGCAGATTTGGTGGAATTTTAGCACCATTTGTGCCTTCAATGGTATGTTCCTTAAATATGTGGAAGTGTGATGAAAGATTTAACAGAATGTAATGTAAAATGAAGCAGATTATCAAAACAAAGATACAGGTGTTGTCCATAAAGAGTAGAAGGCCTGGATGTTAGTGCCCCTCTCTGCCTGGCGTTGAGCTGTTCTTGTTTCTCTTCTCAGAAGGGCCTTCACCAGTCGATGCCGTTCATGGTGTTTGGTCTCAGTGGGGTATCGGCTGGCTGTCTGAACCTGCTCCTCCCAGAGACTCTCAATAAGCCCATCGCAGAGACCCTGGAGGAGCTCCACATCCCCGCCTACCAGCGCATATTGGAGAAAGAGGCAAAGACCCCAATGTTTACTATGAGCCACACGTTAAATCAGAAAAAGAACAAATGACTTGAAACCTAGAACTCAGCTGAAAGCAGATACAGCCTTTGATGTCTTCCTGACTTTCTGACAGAAAGTTTGTCAGGTGCATTTAGAAGATTTAATGAGGTTTAATGTGTTTATGATCCTTACAATATCTGTACTGTATCCGTAGAGTGGGTAACCCTGTGAGTAGTGTACCCCCGATATGTCTTGGACATTGAGTACTTGTACGATACTGAAACAAAAGAACAGTTTTATACAAAAGTTGAGTGAGTGTAAGTGACATTTACATTTAAGAACATGCATGGTGACCTGCAGAATGTCCTGTGTAAATGTCAGTGTGATAGGCTACTACAGTCCCAGGCATCCACATTTATAGTTAAAGGCTGCAAAGCTTTGTAGAACAGTCTTGGCAAGAAATTGTCTTGTCCCCATTTCACCTGAAACGATATTGTTCTTCTTTACACAGCTGTGTTTTTTCCATGTCATTCAGTAAATATCTTGGCATCTAACAGTAGCATAAAAGGGTATAAGTATTGTCTTAAGGTTTTACTTGTCACATTCTGTATTTGTCATATGTGTTTGGGGCACTATTTTAGAAGGGATAGGAGATATAATGTTGAATTTATCTGACATTCATTAGCTAGCTAGAACAGTATTGTCGTGTTCTAGTTCCTGCTATTTAGATGGTCCACTAATATCCAAAGAGCACTTAGAACTACATCTTCACTATGTAAAGGTGGATAGCCCTGTGTGAATGTTGAAGGTTGCTGTCCAAACTGAATATATCTATATATTCATCCATCATATAAAAGCAGTTCTGCTGAGAGTATATAAAGTGAAATATGTACTGTAGGTAATATCAACAGACCTCTTTAGCATTTTATAGCTTCTGAGAGCAGCCTTACAAAAGTAAGAAGTGGGCTTTGAAAGATACAATTTGGAGCTGTGAATTTCCACACTCACCTGTTGGAGTAGTTCTGTAGGGACACTCAAGGCATTCATAGTGCTGACCAACTACCGTTGAATTCAGGGCTGGCTAATTTAAAAGGTGCATCATCCAGTTTGCCCGAGTGTCTGCTGGTTAATCTTCTGGACTGTGCGCCAGGAGAAGGTTTCCTGTTCTGCAGGGTTAGCATTCTTGGCTGTTGAATTTCAAGGAGGAACACTCTGAAATGGTTTGAATTTGGTGTTTTTGTGTGTTAAACCAGGTTTACCCATTTGGAGAAGATCAGCCAAACTCCAAACGCAAAGCACAGGCATGAGGAAGGGTTCCTAACTCTGCAGAGTGGTGGGCTGGGTGAGCAGGTGTGAGGAACAGACAGACACACGCTCACAACCCATACCTGGACTGCTGCCCGTCATGTTGCCTGATGCATACAGCAATGGTGGAAAAGGCTGAGATAAGATTATTGGTGTAAAAAATTAAAAACATTGATTATTTTTAAATGTAACTCTATATAACTCTTACAAAACAGTAAACCAAGGCCTATTTTGAAAATATTTCACACGTGGGCTCTGCATAATGGCTGATAATTCAGTTGTGGACACAGAAGACTCCTAGAAGTCCGGCACTGCAATACCTTCAATAAATGAAGCATCAAGGCAGCCCTTCAGTTGCTGTCTTCATATGTGCATTTGTGGAATGGCTCAGATACGTCTCTGGACGGTGTGAGGACAGCATTACCTTTCGTTCTGTGATATCCCTGAAGTCCCTGTCTCTGGCAGCTCACAGGACGAGTTTGACGCAGGGATTTGTCAGCGGGCTGGTTTAACATCCGAAGATGCCTTTCTTTGATGCAACTTAGGACGATGCCTTGGGGCCAAACTGCAATGACAGAAGCCTCAATTTCTAAGTGTTATGAATGTTTACCAAAAAATGACAACTGTCAGTAATTTGGGCCAAGATATAATTACTGCCAAAAGGAATCCAAAACCTTAGCTCCGTGTATGCTCATTTTCTGTCGGAGAGTTTTAGAAATGCTTTGTGTTCAGAGACTGTGTTGTGCAAGGTGATGTTCAAACAGTAGTCCGCTGATCTGCAGGTCAGATCTTTTTTTGCCTTAAACTTTGAAGCTGAGATTTTATTTTTAAGTCTCAAAGTATTTTTAGAATCCGATTTTTTTGCCTTGAGCAATCTGGGCGCAGGTCTGAGCCGCAGTTTAAAAGCCACAAACGAACTGACACTGGTCTCAGAAGTGCTTACTCCATCCAGCTGCAGACCTTGGAGTTCCAGAGTCTGGGATGATGTGTTGATTGTGAAACCAAACCTCTGGCTTTTATAGTGCTCAGTTCGCCACGAAGCGGGATGGGAGGGAATGGAACCAGGAGCTAGATATCTGAAATCAAGTTATGAATTAAATAAACAGGAGGCTAAAACACTTGTAATTCCTGGAGTGACAATGTTTTATTATTAATTTTCCAAGTTAAAAAAAAGTGTGGATAAACGAGTACCAAGTGTTGCAGGATTTAAATATGGGTACAACCAAGGTTTAAAAAAAAATCTTAATGTACAGTAATTTATCTTTTAAACTGTAGCTACCTGAGTACGTGTAGCCTGAAACATGCTGATCTCTTACCTCTTCCTCTTCAATAACTGTCAAGGGTAACCTTGACTCTACACAGTGTGGACCAGAGAAGAACACCATGAAACCATATCTTAGGGTTCAAAGACAAATTGTCAAAATGTTATTTATTACTACTTCCATTTTTATTCAATATAAAGCTGAAATGATCATTGGTATAAATGGTTCATTTTCATGTATTTTATTTTTTTCCCAAAATCCTTTTGAGACTCTGTGTGAGGGTTGGGCAACACCCTGCTGTCATGTTTCAGATGGCTCTTTCCTTGCTTGCTGTTAGAGTGTGTGGTAGGACAGGTAGCTCAGATCCGCTTTCAGTCACATCTTTTCAAAGCGCTTATGTGGTTATAAAGTGACTTTGTGTTGAGAGTTTAAAGAGCAATCAGAAATAATCTAATTGATGCATATTTGTTTTTCCTCTGAGACATTTGTGCTAAGGCTTTTTTTTCTTCGCTGAATACAGAAACACCATCTGTGGAATAGATAATGTTGTCTGTTTGCAAATGTAAAATTGATTAGCAAAATTTTAAATTTGGGTATGTCCTCTATATTCATAACTGTAAAGTTGTGGGTCGAGTCCTTGTTATGGCCACTGTTGGAGTACCCTTGGACTTGTTGGTCCACTTAATGCTTGTAAGACCTGCTTTGCGTGAATGAGCTTCTAGGCTCAAGTAAGCATGGTGAATAAACAAGAGATCGACTGTAGCTCTACAATTATCAATGATGTGAGACAGCGCCCCCTGTAGTCCTCTTGAAGAATTCCATCATTTTCAGGTTTAGCAATTTCCAAACCCATTTCAAAACCCTAAGCCTAATTAGCTTTCCTCCAAGTGTTAAAAATCACATGTAGAACATACTTCATTACTCTGTGAAAAGTAAGGATCAGTTAATCGAGAGAAAACCACTGAAGCACTTTAAAGTCTAAATGATTTTCCTAATGTGTTTTTGTTGCTAAGTCTACTGTTTTGTAGAATTCCTTTATTGTTGCAAGTGTGCTAATAGTGATTGCAATTTAATTCATTTTTTTTACATATAGAAACCTTAGAGAGGCCTCACCCACAAACATAAAGACCCAACTACATGTCATTTCAGTGTCAATAGCGTGTGAAGCCCTCGGTTTCATCCAGCCTCATCTTGAAGGAGGCTTGAGAATTAGCTCAGGCTTCTGAGCCAAAAACAGCCACCCCACCTTAGTCTGGAAAGAGCATAGCAGCGTTCAGTTGTTAACATGCTTGTCTCTAGTTTTCCAGACCCTTTCATCTTGGTTTTCCTTCACTTCACTTTTATACCTGTATTTGATCCAAATTGTATGTGCAAGATGTTTAACTGTAGCAATGTAAATAAATCATCAAGAACCAGTTATTATACTTTCAGTGGAGCTCAGCTTGCTTGTGTCTGGCAGTCTCAGATGTAATTTCTTGAGGGAAGCCAGGGTCTTGAATTCGACAACAGAATGGCTAGAACCGTGCCCTTTCAAGAAGCGCCTGATAAACTGTAGGCACCTTTTTACTTTGTTTGCAGTATCCCCAGTATTCCAGTTCTTATCCAATATAACGCACTCTTGTGTATCCGCTTCAATAACGTGGCTGCTAGTTTGTTCCAGACTCCCACAACCCATTATCTAGAAAATAGTATCTCCTTTTATGGCTAAGGACTTTAAAAAGAAGCTCAAGCCTCTTGTCATAAACAAAGTTAATAATGTTATAAAAAGAACTGCTTTATGCTATACTTAAAATTAATTTTATCCACTTTCATAATCTCAAACCACTTTACAGTAAAACAAAGGCAAAAGTGCTTTATTTGCCTTTTTTTGGGTATACACTTTTTTTTCTAAAAAAGCTTTTGTATCAAATTAAACTCTGTGGAAGAGTGAAGATTTAAAGTGGTTTGCTTTCATTACTAGCCCAACAAATACCCAATTATCTGGGCTCAAGAACCAACTGTTTATTCAGTGTCCACCAGAGGGCAGTATAGCAGCACTTTTAAGGCACATGGGGGCCTTTTCAGAAGTGACTGGTTTCGGGCTTTTGATCTTAGTCTGTCCTCCTTTGAAGGAGAAAAGAGGAAGAGAAAGAGTACAGATTCTGTATGATAACACTTCAGGGAACAAGTGTCAGTATAACATTTTTATTTTTTCCCATGCAAAATAATGATACCCTGTGGCAAAGTTGGCTCAGGCACCTGGTTGAACAGGAAGACCAAACAAGTTTAAGAAATGAAGTTGTAATCCTTGTTTTTGAATCTTCTTTTATCCGGTAGAGAGGTTTCCATTAAGAAAAAAAAACAAGTTTATTATCCAGCCAGGTCTAAGATTGAGGGTGTTCAAATTGTTTAGCTTTCTTTCTCTTTCTCATTCAGCATTTCAAGACCAACATAATTCACTCATTCTAAAAAAGTACAAAAGCAGACAAACACAGGGTGCAGTGTGTCTATTAAAGTCAGTCATGCGTGTCAGGTAAAGATCACTAAAATTAGACCATTGCTTTGTAAAAGAGGAATTTGTAACGAAAGGAGTGTTCACAGTCATGGAAGGTGAGGAGCTTGTTGTAAATTGCTGTTGGTCAATCATTACAGCTTCTTGGTGCAACGCACTGACATTCACACAGTGTTATAAGAGCATAAGAATAGTTACAAGCGAGGTCTTTAGGCCTGTCTAGCCCATTTGGTAGTTAATAGCTAATTGATCCGAGAATCTTGTCCAGCCAAGTAAGAAACCTTTACCAGTCGATAAAGCAGGGTATTTATCAACTCCAACACCTGATCCCAACTCCTTCTGTCCTCAGATTTCAATTTCACTTTGGTTTGGTTTTGTTTTATTAGGGTTTTTCACATTCAGGTATGTTTGTCCATGGAGTGAATCTTCCGATGCCCGTGATGCTTTGCTAGTTCTAAGTATCATTGTTCAGTACTAGTTTGTTTCCTCTGATAGTGCTACAGACCTCTCTAATGGTTTGAATGATCCCACTTTCCAGCAAGTCCTGTGTTGTTCAGGTGGGTAAGAGGAGTATGTGTGAGTGTGTCTGTGGGACAGGGGTTGGGTGGGGTGGGGGACTACTATGCTGACCCACTGCTGAACTTTGGTTAGACTTCCTGTAGTAGCTCTCAAAACAGCATGTGTTCATTGAGGTTATACCACTGCCTTGAGAAGTCACTCTCTTGCTGTGGGAATAGCAGCACCAGTGTTTTATTGGAGTCATATATAGGGCTTTTATTAGTCTTATTTCAGTTGTTGTACATACCGTTGCATGGACATGTCAACCAAAGTCAGAATTCCATTTATTTAATTTTTTTGTCAGATTATAGAGAAGAAAAATATACTGAGTTTGTTAGTGATGCCTTGATTAACTCCATCTTCAGATTAAATCTCATGAGATTTTATTTTTCCAGTTAACTGGTTGGACCTTGTGTTAGTGTCTTTTTTTAAATGAATGCCTTCTCTTTGGTTTCCTTTGCGTACAATGCAGTTAGTTTGGTTTGGCAAAGTTTGAGTCAGTCATTTCATATAACATATATATGATAAACAAGGGAAGCGTTCACATTAGAAGCCGTTCCTTTAGAGTTTGAGAGAGTTTCCTCCACTTTGATTTCAAAAGCCTGCTGAAAACACAGCCCCTCAAGAGCTCAGCTGTAAGTGACTGTGTTCTGCGATGGACATGCAAAGTAGTTAGCAGCGACTAAACAAACAGACGCCCCTTCAAAGTGAGAAGACGTGTCATAAATCCAGGTTTCTGACAGCAGACAGTCCATCGCCTTGGCTCCTGGTAGCCACTGCTCCTCCCTGCATCTTCAGCTTTGGATTAGCACAGGGGTCAGGAAACAGCACAGACAGCAGACAGGGAAAGAAAGAAATCTTCCTTTTATCGCACACGTGTGCAAGTGTTAAATCAGAATGGCGCATGGTTTGTTTCTTTTAAAAATGGAGGACATATGGAGTGTGAGATTAATAGCAAAGGATGTTAATAAAGAGAACTTCAAGTGCACTCTTCTTCCACAGTGGTGTGTAGAGAGTATTCAGTTAAAGGAGTCTGGAAAATGCATTTTTGTTTAAGGGGAACATTTATGGGTGTTTATGGTAGTAATGGCTGCCTTCCTGCAAATATGTTTGAATGTAAAGTTCCTCATTTTTTCCTAAAAGAATGTTGTGCGTCCCGCAGAATTCTTTTGCTTTCTCAATCTTAAGTGAAGGTGGTAAAAAACTAATCCGTGGAAAGGGAAGTTACACCTTCTAAGCGCTACAAATGTATCTTAAATAAAGTGTTAAATTTAGACTGACTTGTTTTTCTGTGGTCAGGGAGTACAAGCCTTGTCAAGCCTGCTTCCTCACACAGCTGTTATCCTCAACTCACAGCCTGATGACCACCAATAAAAAAGTTCACATTCCCAAAGGAATGGGGTCATGACCTGGAGATAAAACAGGGAAATCTAATTGCGGAATCTGTGTTTATTAAGGAGCCGGGGCTGAAGAGGAGAGGGCAGCCGGCTTGTTCTCCTGTGGAACTTCCTGTGCCATTCCTTTGCTGCCTCCAGCCCCCCCCCAGGTGGATGAGGAGGAGCTTGTTTAGAGCAAATTCTGTCTCACCTGTGCCTGGTTTGTGCGGAGAAGTGGCTTGTATTGGTCGCAGGTGGTTTGGACCAGCAGTACCCATAGGATGAAGTCAGCTTTTCAGGGTGAAGTAGCAGACAGGAGGCTGTCTGGGCGATGCTGCTGCAAATTGTGAATAGGATGGAAGGCCCAGAGTCATAAAACCGTGTCGGAGGACTATAATTCACCCTGCTGCTCCTGGTGAACTCCTGCACGCTGGGTGA